CTTTGTGAATATCTGGTTCACTAATGCAGACACATCCAAACAAATTAAAAGTGGGTATGGTGCAGGCCAATGTCATATCAATACGGTCTTAATGAAGGGACTTTTGTTTGCTTTGCCCATATTTGCAACAGTAGCTTTTAACATTGTAATTTATTGTATGATTGCTGTTAAAATTAAACATAAACAAACTGCTGCGTTCTTCTCAGACAGAAAATACTGGTATGCATTTGTTTTCTTTCATCTGCTCATAATTGTTGCCCTTGCATGGATATTTGGCATTCTTAAAGAGTTTGTAACCTCCCATGCACTTGATTATTGTTTTGTTGTCTTTGTTGGCGGACAAGGAATTATTCTTCTGCTTTTACTTGTTCCTTTGACTGCAGAAAACATTATTTTTCTCAAGAAATAAGATTATGAGACAATTCAAGTTCTGGTCGCGATAAACTCTAATCATCAATGCCAATAAACGCCGGGGTCATATTTTCTTCTACAGCGCAGATACATGTGTAAAATAATGGAAGTATAGTGGGTCATTTATATAAAATGCTCTGCTTTTGTCGGAGAAGATTTTGAACAAGTGCATCACCAATATCAATTATCTAAAATATAACATATTGCATAGCTTATTGCCTTCCTATTATTGCTCTTACGTCCTGATTAAAAGCTTACGCGTTTTTCTAAATTGATATGTTTGTTTTGTACGTACGTGTGTGTTGTATTTTTTTTAAAAATATTTCTGTGCATTTTTTGTTGTCTTGAATACTGTTTGTTTATACGTAGTTTTATCGATTTTTGTATTTTATACACAAAACTATTTTATGATTGGTAATATCTAACATGGCTTGTTGTAATTCATCATTTTTTTTAACCTTTTCTTGTTTAAATGCGGAATTCTGCTTAAGCCATTGCAAGGCTAAATCAAACCGAGCCTGCAGCATTTTCAATTTTACCATCCGTTTCGAGTTTTCTTTAAGGATTCTTTTTTATCTCTATTTTATTTTGTGTAGTTTTGTTACTTTTTTCATTCATCATTGAATCTTAATTCCTGAAATAAAGTTCTATTAAAAATTTCTCAGTCGTGATATGCATAGTTTAGATATATGCTGACTCTCCTCAGTCAATTCTGCGTTATTTCTGACTCGAAACAGTATGCTACTTATCAATACAGGACCAGTACTAATTAATGCTATAACTGTTTTTCAGACGACAGTATGAAAGAATAAAATTTTTCACATTCTATAATTATTTAGTTTATCATACGAACATATACACGCAATTTCAATTTTATGTTAACAACTTATAGTAGAAGCAAAATACCTTCATATCCGTCCCAATCTTTTTTTTCATCAACTGACCGGATCAAATGAAGATTGCCGAAGATTTTAAGTCACTAAATTTGGTTAAATTGCGCTTAAAAACATATTCAAATTCAAAATGATTATTATAAATGTTACTTTCTATCTTTTCTCCCTTCCACGCACAAAATTTCAAGACTTCTCAACGGGGAAGATTGTATGGAATGACATCACTTTGTATTAAAAATGGATTGTTATCAAGTCATTCACATCATATTAAGCTGTCTTACATTTTTTGCTACTTTTGATATTTAATTAAGGCTAATAAACCCTGCTGAATGGAAATTCTAAATTTAGAATCATATGTTTTGCTGTTGACGTTTTTCTGATAACTATATCGGTAGCCATTGGTGTTTGTTTAGTATAAGAGAGGTCTGGGTCCAGGTAATCGAAAATAATGTTGTTTTTCTTAGAAAATTAACCAAGATTTATAAAGAAAACTGATGGTTTTGTTTATGTAACATGAATAATCTTTAGATTTTAGTATGAAACGCTGGTTCACATGTATCAGATTCAAAATATGAAAATCTAGATGGTAAAAGTGCTTTATATTTAACATCTTATTTAAACTCGTATGCCTCTGATTTTAAGCCTCATTAGATTAACAAACGGCTTTTGTTGTTTGATGTTTTGTATAAAAAATTTGTTTTGCCATATCAAAGACGCCTGCGCGTCCGTGCAGTCTGATCAGGATCCATGCTGTTCGCTTTCAGTTTCTCTACTTGTAATAGGGCTTGTAGGCGGACAGCATGGATCCTGATCCGCAGGCTGGTCTGGATCCATGCTGGTCGCAAACGCACTATGTTGGTTTGTCATGACGCGGCACAATTATGTTACTTGAATGACTCCTGTTACTATAAGTATGTTTTATATTATGATAATTATCTATGTTGTGCATTTATACTGTTGGAGCATTGTCTACATGTCAGTGGCTAGTTTGTTAAGTATAGTGAACCAAAATTATTGTATGTTACAAAAGTACAAAAAGTTATTTGTTATGCTTTAGTCTTGGAATACAAATAAAATGTTTTAATCCTTCTTTCCATGTTTACGTATATCTGGACTTACACACAACAGAAGCTCAGTTTATTACAACAATATTTATTGTATGTCACGAAAGTACATTTTGAAATTCGTATTTTCTTTCTCCTGGTTATATATATACAGCGTAATATGGCGAAGTGATATAAAATAGATATATAAAGTTCAACACAAATAACTAGGTTTCAAAATACTTAAACCACTACTGTAACCGCGACGATATTTTATTCACGAATAAGCCATTTGAGCGAAAATATTCATGTTAATCTAGGACTGATTAAACATACAGTATTTTTTTCAAAACATAAAACAGTGTATCATTAAATTTGGACTCCGATGAATATAGACCCCATGGATCATTTTTCAATGTTAAAAACTCCTGAATATTAACATGTCTTCGAGATGGAATCGTCATCTTTGTTAATCTATTATTCAGGCTCGCATTCAAATTGTATTTACTAAATTAAAGCTGAAAGTATTCATTTGTAAGTATTGACATCATAAAAAACTACAGGGAAGGTGGTTTAAAAATGATTGATGTATTTGCATATATGAAAAGTTTGAAATTAACATGGTTTAGAAGACTTCTCACTGGAAGTGGTAAAAAATGTTTCACATTTATTAGTAACATTTTTAATTATGACAAAGTTTTTAACTGTGGAAAGTGTTATGTAGAAATTGAATCTAAATCAATGTACAATTACTTTTGGAAAGATGTTTTGTTAGCATTTATTGACTATATAGATATTGTGAAAATAACAGATATAGACCAGTTTGTTAACTGTCCATTGTTTTACAATAATAATATTTTGATAGATAGAAAGCCTGTGTGTATGAAAATGGAGTGTTTTTTATCAAAGATATTATGCAAAAAATGGAAATTTTGTGAGTAAAGAAAATTTAGAAACCAAATTAGCACAAATATGAATTTTTTAGTTTATGAAGGTTTGAAAAGTGTTATTAGAAAGTACATAATCTCTCTAAAAATAGAATATTCTAATACCAATGTATTATTGCCGTCTATTCCCTTTTATATAAAACATATATTTTTATGTAGAAGTGGAACCTCTACCATATATAATGTATTTATTGATAATTGTCAAATACCTACATGTATATCAAAATGGAATGTTTATTTTAACATTGATGATACTGAGTGGAAATACCTGTTTGAATGGGTTCACACTGAAACTAATGATAGTTACGCTTCAATGGCTTCAAACTAGAATCACCCATAGAATTCTAGGAACAAACTATTTAATGTCTAAAATGAAATTGACACAATCTGATAAATGCACTTTCTGCAAAGAAGAAAAAGAGACATTATCTCATTTATTCTGGAATTGTTTGGTTATAAAAACTTTTATCTCAGATGTGCAACAATTGCTAAAATGTCATAATGTTGATTGGAAGGTTGATTGTAAAACATTTATTTTAGGGTATCAAAAAGGTGACCAATGTCAATTTAATATTTTTGTCTAGAATTCAAAAGATATATATTCTTGTGCAAGAGGAGGGAGATAATACCATCTTTACAAGGCCTTGTCTGCAGTTTAAAGCTAGCATCTTCAATAGTTAGTTATACAAAAGTTAAAAAATCTATGTACTCATTAGTTGATATGATAGCAAATAGATAGAACCATTTTTGAATTAACTACTTATATATTACAGTCTGTGTATATTATATCCAGTTTTGGTGGAAATGAAATACTCTGAATCCCAAGAGAACATTTATCTTCTGTGTATTGTATGTATTATAAAATAATGTATGATATAAATGCCCGTAATATGTTTTTTGTAACATTATAATAAATTGTATGGTAAAATAGTGGAAAGATCCCCGACCCTATTTTACCTATTACGGGGACAATAAACGGAGTTACCTCTTGGGCTTCAAAAAAAAAAAAAAAGTATTGACATCATTGAAAGTCACTATCCAAGACCTTTGGCTCTTGTTGGCCACTTCTCAAGATTGTTAATGTGTTTTGAATGATTACTCTTTGTGAATGCCTCCATACACCAGACTAATCATGCAAGCACTGAGAATAGTTGTGGGCCATTGTACCCCTTTGTTGTTTTTTCTGGTATTCACAATTGCTACTTTTTAAATGAAATCAATTACTTTTTAATTGTCATGCGAGGTCTTTCCAGTTTAAATTTGGGATTGTGAGTACTTTTGCAAAGGCAGTAGAACCACTGAAATTCCTAAATTTGTTGTATAGCTTCCTAACATATAGTTTGAATTCTCCATCGAACAAATCAGTTTTTAACTGTGCACAACCATTTACATTTTTGGGGTACATGTTCTAGTTGAAATTCAGACAGTTTTCCAGATGGAACCTCGTAAATTTTACTCAAGGAACCAAATCTCAGATAATGAAAAATTCGGGTGTTGACCATTTCACTTTTGGGTGCATTGATCTTGACCTCTAAAACATGAAGTATTTTCCATCGCCAATATTTTTGAAAATTTATGAGTCAAATCATAAACAGTAGAAATTTAAGTTTTTACAAACTGCTAAAATTGAGCTTTCATGGAATCATTCTTCTGTTAATATTGCAATCAACAAACAGCTTTGTGGAAAAGAAAATTCAAACTCAAAATGATTTTTTAATATATTGACTTTCATCATATGAACATATGTAATAAAATAATTTATTAATAACTAGACCATTGGACGGATTAAATATATCTACAAGATAAATTATACAACTACAAAATATCTCTATACACAAAAAATGCTATGCCACCTCATTTTACAACACTCAATAGTATGAACAGAAGTAGTTCATTTTTTTGTTTCTATACAATTACAATTTGCGATAATGCAGTAGTCTTCATTCATTACTTAAGGCATAAGCATGCAGCCAAGTAGAACAACAAATCTCATATTACTAAAGGTAGCTGGATAGCTTCCCTCCAGAAAAACCCAAAAGAATCGTACTGGCAAAATTTTAATGTACGACACTGAGGGGGGCTAATGAGGTCCCTATTTTAAGTTGAAGTTCAACAACCAACAAATGACCTCTCAACACACTATTTGTAACTCTTAATACCTTGAAAATGTAATTCAATAAAACAGCCAAAAATTAACTTAAGATCAGGTAATGTGATTACACAAAATATGTCTTTTTTAAGTTAGGCAGCATCCCCATTCAACTGGGAACAATAACTATAGCTGACAGCACATCTATATATAACATAGGCATATTTGTAATGCTAATGTCTGCTCAATGTCCTCTAATGTAACTTTGACATAGCTATAAATATTACAAAGGATCCTAAGAAATTCCATTTTAGCAACAGTGATCTTGGTCACATTCACTTTAATTTCCAAAGAGAGTATATATCTATTCAAGGTAGCTACAATCTAAGTATCTATTAAAAAGTGAAAGCTCTTTTAAAAAGTTAAAACATAATATTTTCAATCATGTCCTTTCAAGAGTAGAAATTGATATTGGCACGTTATTGGCCAAATATGTAAGACATTGATAAATTATTGAAGGGGTTTTGAGAAAGAAAGACGGTAAAATTAGTCATAACAAGTTTCTCCTTTCCCTAAAATAATATGCTTAAGGGAGCATGAAAATGAGACTTGTCTGATCTCAACAAATAATTAGTCTATTACATTGAATAAGAGGTATAATGGCTAAGAACTGACTTGCTACATAAAATAATAGCCTATATAGCTGCCTTGATACTATCTAGCAAAGTCAATCCTTTAAAACAGTCTGATCAATTCCAACATCTCTGTAAGACAAACTTAATACACAAAACCAGTGCGTGAAAGATTAAGCTATGGCAGATTTTCCAGTCTCTACTTCAACACCTAATAGATCTTCTTCATCTGTTTCTTGTAGGTTTTCTGTAAGTCTGTCTGCCAGTGGAGATAACGATATAATTAACCATCCCACAATGCTCAGTACATTACGAGATGTGTTCAGATCTCTCCATAACATCAAATCATCTGATGTTGTCTGAAAATAAAACAAACATATCTTTAAATATCTTATCCACTACTTTTTCTTGCACATTACCTGGCATTTAATTCTTAATATTCCCTTTTTATATCAATAATAATCTATGTTGTAAAAGAAACACCAGGTAACAAGAAATCAAGGATTATATTTATGTTTTTCTTACAATTATATTAAACTTTAAAACATATAAAACAGCATATGAATTATTGATATTTCCACTGACCAGAGGTAACTTACTAAATAAGGTGTTTAAGGGGCCTTCTGGATGTGATGGTCCTCCGGACTTGGTGATCCTCAACCATTACATTCTGTCTTTTAGTAAGTACTTTTAACTCAGAATTTGCTTTGAACTCAAAACCAGCTGAGTATTCTTCTCTTTCAACTTAAATTTTCAATGAAGTTACAGGTAACTTTTCAATGCTATTATTAGTATGAATACAAAAGTTACAGGTATAGACTACTTACTGCTGTATTATTCCATAGATCTGGTTTGAGATCATATAAATGGATCTTGTCTTCTAGTGCACCATTTGAAAGGCTAATTACGAGTGCAGCAAAATATAAAACCACTGAAGCTGCCCCATTTTGTAATGTCAAAGCTTTAATTAAAAATCCTCGCCCAGGGTTTGCCACATCTGATCTGTAAAATAAAAGGTTCTATTCATCAATGAGTGAAGGGTAAAGTAAAATATGTACAATATTTGAAACACTACAATATAAAATTATCACTTACATAATTATTAAGTATCACAGTAAGTATCACAATGCAAATGTGATTATCATCAATGAAATGTGTAAATTACTTTCAAGGTTCACTTCACAACATTTTACTTTTAAATAATTTTTAAAAATATTCATGAAAATTGGCATGAATCTATAGGCATGCTTGCATTAAGGGATATTCTATATTGTTCATAACATCAACATACCTGTCTAGTGCAGACCATGAGCATAACACCAGCAGAATATAGAATATACACTGTACTGGCAACGCTAGCTTCCTGTAGTGGACAATAAAATCCACATCACCAAAATCTAACAGCATGTATGCAATCACAATGTGCCAGGCAGCTAACCCAGCTAGAAGTCCATGACAGAATAAACAGAATGTACGAATCACTTTGTGTGTATTTATAGCAAATTCTATTGTAGTGTTTTTAGGTTCCTCGTGCACAATAGCTTTCTCTTTTAACTCTTCAGCTTGCCTCTTGGCAAACCTGCTCTTGTATTCTCCTTTGAAACCACCTGAAAGTTTAAGGTAATATTCCTAAATATATAATACAGTTTATGGCATATGTGTCTAAATTTGACAAATAACAAAATTACATAAATAAGCCAATGACCATGCTTAAGTTTTATTTAACAGCACATTTTTAAATGGTGTTGTATGACATCATGAAAGACATTGTCAAGATATAATCACATAAACAAATGTATGTAATTTTTCAATTATGCACACAATAAAAATCAAGAAAAGTAACAAGGTTTTTGTAGAAAAATAACTGGCCCAGAAAAATTTATATATGTTATTTCCCTTTGATATTTAAAGTAATTGGACATTTAGGCTTAACAGATTAGATTTCATTTTCTACCAAGAAAGTCTGTAGATTATATGAGCTTATGGGAAGAAAGCCAAACAATATGGCATTATTTGAGTGCTTAAATTCATATAATTTATCACATGAAAAGTTGTAACACATCAACATGATTATAGTATAAATGTGGCATTAAATGGTATGAATTTTCCTTATAATAGTTAGTTCTCGTATATAAGTTTTACAAGTTGCTGACAGGATATACAGGAGAATATAGCCTAAAACCCAAGACATGAGTCGATGGTTATATTCAAGCCAGGAAGGCTATATTCTTCCATATATCCAATATATGAATTGTATTTACCATCTGTTTCTATGTAGAATTTTTCTGTAGGTTGTGAGCGTAGAGCAGCTGAAGCAGTGGAATATGGCTGCTTGGAATAACTTTCCTCTTCTTCCTCCTCGTCAACTTTAGCATCGTGGGCAATAACATCATCCTGTATCTCAGACAGATCTGCTGCAAGTGTACTGTCAAAGAAATTTGAATCATCTGCTGCTTCTGTGGTGGTCTTTTTCACCTTCTTTTTGACTTTCTTTTTTCTTGGTGTACCTTCTTTTGGTGATTTGATCAAACTTGCCTTGCTGCCATTTACATCCTATAAAATCATTAAATCATAAATTTTATTGACATAAATCAACAGCGAAAACTTTTACATCATTCATCAAACAAAAAATGTTATAAGACTGTTTGTTTATATAAAGATTCTCTGTTCTTAATGAAACATAATTTCACATATGCACTGGTTGAACAGCAGATAACAGCTGAGTCTTCAGCTTCTAATTTTGGAAATTTCTTTAAAAAAACAACACAGATATCTATCAGGTAATGAGGGTGGTTTTTACCTCACTTAGCTAGTTTTTGCTCCTAACAACTTCTAACTGGACAATGTCTGTATAGAAAAATGCAGTTTGTGGTTGCAAAACTTGCTATTCAAAGAATCATGAATTAGAAAACCTATCTTAACACCTTTTTCCAGCACTTTCTATACATAGAATTAGAATTCATCTAAATGGCGTGGAATAGCATAGGTATGTTTATGGCCTTTTTGGGATTAAAATGGAATAAAACAATTACTTTAAAAAAAATTAAAATCATTGTACAAATAATACCATACAAAAATATATATCAATACACAAGTTTAGGCAGAAAATATCTATTTATTATACCAGGTGCTACTACAACTGTTTTAAAATGATAGATTTTCATTATAAACAATTTAATAATTTTTGTAAATTTTGAGATACAAATGTTGATGGTAAAGGAACAATGACGATTTTCAAACACATCAAGTTTTTCAGTTAAACAGATGTAATGATATAATAATAAAAAAACTATCATGTATCGATAATAACATTGTGTATTTCATGAGGTGTGTAGTTGTTTCTGGTTTAGGTAATATCAAAACAAAGTTTTTAAGCACCACCTGTTGAGGTTTGCAGAGGTGCTTTTAATTAGAACTAGAGTTGTATTTTGGTCAACAAACAAAAAGTGTCATCGTAATGGTGAATTAAATTACAATTTACGTCAACCCTTCTATTTTCTTTGAATAACACAACCTTCTTGCATACCTTGCTACTTAAATTAGTTTTAACATCAGCAATTAATTACTCTCAAAACAAGCAGGAATTTCATCTACCATGGTTGTTTTAACAAATGAAAAAGCTGCTTTCACGTGATGACAAATGTAGGCATGTTTTATGTACTGCCTTTAAAACAATTTTGGTGCAGTCTAAATATGTAAACATGGCCAGATGAAATAAAATTATATGTAATTAGGCAAAGCCTATGAACGGGAAAGTCGGTTATAAAACACTTTCATTTTCATCGATAGCAAGCTCGAAGAGCTGGCCGGAAGGGCCTGCTCGCAAAGCGACCTTTAAGGAAACACGAGTACCAGCCAGATAGTGATGGTTTTGAAAACTTTTGTCAAAAGTAGGGAATTGGCACATCGCAACTTTTCAAATTACAAGAAAACAATACAAGAGGGCCATGATGGCCCTGAGTCGCTCACCAGAAACAACTGCTTTTCAGTGCAAGAATGTCAATATATTCTAATATTAAATTTGAGCATAAAATATGTTTAAACAATAATTTGAAGAAATGCCATGGCCTGGGGTATTTAAGCTTTAGCTTAAACGGGGCTAATCAAATTAATATGAGCAAACTTGATAAAAGACTACTTAAGAATGCTACAAAATTTGGTGATCATCTATCAATTATTTCAGTAGGAAATGATGTTGGAAGGTTTTTTCTATTTTTCTATTTTCAGCTTTAGTGGCCCCTAAAAGGGGCTAATCAAATTAATATGAACAAACTTGTTAAAAGAGTACCCAAGAATGCTACAGACATAGTTTGGTGATCATCCATCAATTGGTTCTGAAGTAGAAGATGTTTAAAGGTTTTTCTATTTTTAGCTTTTGCGGCCCCTACAAGGGGCCAATCAAATTAATATGAGCAAGCTTGATAAAAGATTACCCAAAAAAGCTACAGACAAAGTTTGGTGATCATCCATCCATTAGTTCCGTAGGAAAAGATGTTTAAACATATTTCTATTTTTAATTTTAGCGGCCCCTAAAAGGGGCCAATTAAAATAATAAAAAGACTACCAAACAATGCTTCAGACAAAGTTTGGTGATCATCCATCATTAGTTCTGTAGAAATAGACATTTAAAGGTATTTCTATTTTTAGTTTAAGCAGCCCCTAAAAGGGGCCAATCAAATTCATATGAGCAAACTTGATAAAAGACTACCCAAGAATGCTACAGACAAAGAGTGGTGATCATCCATCAATTAGTTCTCTAGAAAAAGACATTTAACGGTATTTCTATTTTTAGCTATTGAGACCCCTAAAAGGGGCTAATCAAATGAATATGAGCAAACTTGATAAAAGACTATCCAAGAATGCTACAGACAAAGTTTGGTGATCTTCCACCAATTAGTTCTGTAGAAATAGACATTTAAAGGTTTTTCTATTTTGAGCTTTTGTGGCCCCTAAAAGGGGCCAATCAAAATAATATTATCAAACTTGATAAAAGCCTACCAAAGAATGCTACAGACAAAGTTTGGTGATCATCCATCACTAAGTTCTCTAAAAATAGACATTTAAAGGTATTTCTTTTTTTAGCTTTTGCGGCCCCTAAAAGGGGCCAATCAAATTAATATGAGCAAACTTGATAAAACACTACCCGAGAATGCTACCGACAAAGTTTGGTGATCATGGGACATCCATCAATTAGTTCTGTAGGAGAAGATGTTTAAGGTTTTTCTATTTTTAGCCCTAGAGACCCCTAAAAGGGGCCAATCAAAATAATATTAGCAAACTTGATAAAAGACTACCCAAGAATGCTACAGACAAAGTTTGGTGATCATCCATCAATTAGTTCTGTAGGAGAAGATGTTTAAAGGTTTTTCTATTTTTAGTCCTAGAGACCCCTAAAAGGGGCCAATCAAAATAATATGAGCAAACTTGATAAAAGACTACCTAAGAATGCTACAGACAAAGTTTGGTGATCATCCATCAATTAGTTCTCTAGAAATAGACGTTTAAAGGTTTTTCTATTTTTAGCTTTTGCAGCCCCTAAAAGGGGCCAATCAAATTCATATGAGCAAAATTGATAAAAGACTACCCAAGAATGCTACAGACAAAGTTTGGTGATCATCCATACATTAGTTCTGTAGAAGAAGATGTTTAAAGGTTTTTCTATTTTTAGCCCTAGAGACCCCTAAAATGGGCCAATCAAATTAATATGAGCAAACTTGATAAAAGACTACCCAAGAATGCTACAGACAAAGTTTGGTGATCATCCATCCATTAGTTCTGTAGAAGAAGATGTTTAAAGGTTTTTCTATTTTTAGCTCTGCTGACCACTTAAAGGGGCAAATTGAAATGACATGAGCAAATTTAAGTGTGACTGTCCAAAGGATGCTACAGACCAAATTTGAAGTAAATCTGTCCAGTAGTTTCAGAGAAGAAGACGATTGTTGACGCATGACGACGGACAACGAACGCCAGAGCATCCCCCTTTGATACTTATAGCTCACCCTGAGCCTTCGGCTCTGGTGAGCTAAAAAGCCGAGGTATTCTGATTGAAAACGGAAGTGTAGACTGGTGTCCAGCCCACTTATATGGGAACCATAATAGGACAGGGAACCAGAATAAATGGAAGCAGTGTATAAAATACCAAATGACAATTTTAAAACGGAAAATGTAAAATAAAAATCAACAATGATTTTTATACTATTTCATGGTAAAAGTAAATCGGGCTCGATTTGAGGCTTTGCCTTTTTCATATTAGACCTGTATAGAATTATATATATTTTTTTTTAATTTGTTTTTATTTGATTAACATCTAAATATACATGTGTAGTCAGGGCCTTTTTTCCTTCTATAACAGTGGCCTGTATAGGGCTGCTTCCTCAAAGAAAATTTCCTTAAAATCATGCAGTTTTCCCCAAAAATTGAATTTATGGCTGCTTTTCCTTAAGTTGTGGGTTTTCCTTGAGTTGTGGGTGGGTGAAAATCGTAAATGACTTTTTGTATGGTTAAAAATGTATTTTAGAAGTTAATATTTCTCATAATTTGTTGTTAAAAAGTTGTAAATACAGTAATAATCAAATAATTTGGCCATTTAAAGGGTTTGTTTACATTTTTTGACAACAACAACCTACTGGTTTCCGGTGTTTGGAACAGGTGCGACTTAATTTCGCGCCAAAATTGGGCCCATAGAAAGTCTCACTGAACTATTAATTGAAATATAAACTAACACTTGGTCATCAGCATCATTATATCTATTATTGATCCATTAAAATTTTGAAATCATTTTTTGTATCTCCGTCTTTTTGCAATTAGTTATGTTTGTTTATAAAGCAAAATTAACGGAATAGGATACATATGAAAACCACATTGCTTTATTAAAATATCATTTGCAATTGTTGCTACAATTTTGTTAATGTATAATTTAAGATTTTGAAGGCAAAATGAAAGTTGCCCTGATGTTTTATTTAAATTTCATGACAAACTTTAATAGATCTTATTGAGGACTGTTAAGTACCAAATAAATTAATCAAATCTGACTTTAAATCGCAAAAGACAGGAGGCTCTACTGGCATGCGAGCAGTTCCCGTACAAAAATCATAGTTACTTATACATTTTTTATTACGCGCACTCACCAAAATTTGAATGTTACACATCAATATTCGGCTCGTCACACAAATCATGGAAATTCCAGCATGTTCTAAACATAGAATAACCCTTACTTATGAGGCCTCATATGGGGTACCGAAATTATCCATTATTTTGTATGAAGAGAAGTAGTTCCCGTACATAAAATCTAACCCATTATAATTATACAATTTTATTATATCGGACCTATTTTTCATTTACAATTGTTGAACAGACCATTATCTAAGAGATAAATAGATGTAATTCAGGAAATAGAGCTTAGACTAAACGCGGGTATCTATTATCCGGTACCGTTACCCCAACGCATTCACATGCAATAGCATGCTGGTATGCATGATATTTTACGCATCAAAGCCATAAAATTATTTTATATAGTAATATTGGTCAAAATTCTTATAATTAAACAAGTTTTCATCACATTGCCTACTTATTTGTAAACAGGTGGTATTAGTGGAAAACCCTTTAACAAGCCTCACGTATAAGTATTTTTGCGCATGCGCGCATGGACGGAATCCCCCAGAGAAAACAAGGTCATGTTTTGACGACGCACAGGTGAAAATGATTTAAAATGAGACTTTTTATATGTACTGTCGAACTGACACTTAGATTTTGTCTCGTTTATGTATCTGCTTGATTTGAGAATGCAAGTGAAAATCAAGCGTTTAAATGAAAAATACGGGTATTGCTTCTGTACGGGAACTGCTCGCATGCCAGTAGTCATATAATGATGTTTAATAAATAGGTAAGGTAACTTGAAATAGTTCACTGAGATTTGACCAATGTTTTCTTACACTACTGTTGACATACATGTTAGCCACGACTCAAGGAAAAGCAAAATGCATGTGAATGCAAAATGGTACCTATATAAAATGAGCTAGATAATCGGAAATAAGTCTAAAGAGATGCATAAAAGATCATGACAGTGCAAAATACAAATAGTTCAGCATTTTCTGGTAATTTCCATGCTTGTTCCTGTGACGTCATCATATGTCACTGGTCTATTTTTAGAAATGCCCACGACTCTTGGTAAATAAAGCATACATAAAGTTTTTTCTTCCCCTTTTGCAAATATACTGTGTAATTTTTCCCCAAAATTAAGGGCTGGGCTGCTCCCCAACATGTGAAAAAAAGCCCTGGTAGTATAAACTGTTTATAGCCGGGCAAGCCAAAGCCTGGGACCACAAAGGCCTTTGACTTCCACATATTCATGATATTATATAGTCTAGTTAAAAGGGAGACAACTCATCGTTGTACCTACATGAATTTTAGAGGAAATTCATGTTAAAAACCAACCTCTGCTTGACTTGCTCCACTTCTTGCTGAAGAAGGATCCACATCGGCATCCTCCGGTTTCTTTACAGCTCGTTTTTTCTGTTTAGGTGCAGTCGATTCCGCGCCAGCTTCTGTTGTCGAGTCGGCACTTGCAGCTTTCTTGCGTCGCGGGGTTGTTTTGGGTTTACCTTCAGATGTTTCTTCAGTACTTTCCGCTGCTGCTTTCTTTTTCTTGCGTACAACTTTCTTTTTAGGTTTATCTGTTTCTCCCGTGTCAGCTGCCCCGTCAAGAGGTGGCAATTTTGTTTTTCTGCTGGGTGTTGTTGTAGTATCTGCCATGGTTTCTATTTTGGTACATTAACGATGCAAGCGACCAACTTGTTCCCGGCTTCTCAAAACGATATCGAATCAAAACCCAAAACCATTTATGCAAAATAGGAAACCGCTTAGCTCAAAGAACTTTTTATCCGAAAGAACTTTAACTACTCAAAAGACAAATTTAGGAAAATTTATTTAATGTGTTTTTTTTACAAAGGCAGAAGTTTATTTAAACCCGTGTAGAAAATTTTTATGCTTCCCAAAGGGAAAGCAGATAGTCGCCGCTTTGTCCGTCCGGCTACCCGTCCGTTCTTCCGCTTTTCTTGTCCGGGACATAACTTTGAAAGTATATATGAAACCTGTATCAACAAGAAACTTTGTAAGTAGATAGATCTCATTGAGTAGAATTGCAGTGCATTAGAATAGTAAGTCTGCCCTGCCTATTTTTGGAGTTATTGCCCTTTTTCATTTTACACTTTGAAGTTTGTCCGGGACATAACTCTGACACTATAAGAGATAACAACACGAAACTTTGTAGGTAGATAGATCTCATTGAGTAGAAGTGCAGTACAAAATCAAAGGGCTGCAAGCTCTGTGGTATTTTCTGATATTTGCAATCTAAATTGTACTGTATATCTGTATGTGTTTTCCTGTATAAGTTTATTTTTGGCGTCCGCGCCGAAGCGGGCGCCTCTTATGGAATGAAATCAGATTTTGTGAAAGGGCGACAGCAACTTCTCGAGTCTTTTAGTTGGACATAATAAAAGCCGATCATTCCGATCAGTATGAGGGTGCTTGATTATTAATTAAAAATGAAATGTCGCGATATATACAATGAATAGCGAACTAGAGAATTTCGCAATGCAAACATTTTCAAATGAAATAACCTTTTCCGTCAATAAATCGCGCTCTTCGGGGTATTTTTATTTATCATTTTGTAGTACACAGTGGGTTATTATGGTACATGTATCCGAAAGCTGAATAGAATGATGAGTTGCTGACCTAAATATTCCGAAAATCTATTTATAGAGGGATGTACTCCTATCGGTAATTCCCGGTCTCTCCTTGTCTATTTTGACCGGAATTTACTAGTGACCGGCGAATAGTACCACACGTTTATTGTCCGGTCTCTCCCGGTTTTGGAGTAGATGTTTGATATCGTTACAGAACAGAACAAATATTTTACAGTTATATAAGTTTTTTTCAAAATGAATGTTTGTCACTTAGTTTGGTTACAATAATTAATAAACACAGATCAACTCTCAAATTTATTGATTATTATTATACATAAACATACAATTCGAAAACAAAAACCCCAACAACAACAATAGCATGTTTTATTTTATCTATATGAGATAAAAACAATAAAAATGTACAATAATTGAGAAAAAGGGTACATTTTTATGGTATTAATATGACACTAACTTTGAAACATTTTATTTAATTTGTTATTCGTGTTTAGTAAAGATGCCGAGGAATTATTCAAAGTTACAAATTAGATTTTATGAATTATTCAATTGATTGATAATTTAAAAGTGATAAAGAAAAATACAAATGTACATGAATATGGTTTAAGAATAAACAATATTATATATTGAAAGATTAACCATGATTTACTGACTTTTTCCAGTTAAGTTTTTACTTATAATCGTCGGTCAATATGACAATTGAATTCTTAAAATAGTAGTAAACGTAAAAACTCAGTATTAAAATAGCACATAAAACACAAAAAAGAAAAGAAAACAATATTCATAAAATCTGTATTTTTTATTAAAATAGATATTACAATTATTGTATAATAAACAATTTTATCACACACCCGTGCCGATTTTGCGACTCCGTAAATATGGTATTGCACGGCCGTGCATATATTTTGACGTGACGTCATTAGCGTTATACAAACATAGTGTAAAGACGCGCTAAATGTAAGCGTTATACTGTAGGCGCGTCAATGAAAACGGAATCTTATTTCACTTTAAACGGTCTTTATTTTGGGTATGTGATAAATAGAATATTAAATTCGTGTAAGTTCATTACTAGATTTATTGCACTCGTTGAATAAAATAATATTATGCTCGCCAGAGGCTCCCATAATATAATTTTATTCAACTCGTGCAATAAATTCAGTATTGAACTTACACTCATTCAATATCCTCTATATGCTCAACATGATCAACATGGTAATGTAACCAGTGTCATATTGTTAGTAAGTGTGAACAGATACCTTTAGAGGGGGTCTTCGCTAATAGCGATAGCATAATAAGGGACAATTACACAAGTGTGGTGTTGATCATGCATTACACATATGGATTATAAATGATTGTATACATGTATATCCGTTGCTATTAATAACCACGATCATAAAGAAATAACAAGTAATATTCTAATCTCTAGCATGCCAATCAAAGTTAATAATGAACAATGTCTTTCGTCCGTTCATTCATAAGTGATATACAATTCTGGTAAAAACCAATTAACCATTGAAAAGTTTATAATCATTTATCTACTAGTTCATCTTCACCTGCTGAATTTCTTGCTTGGACGCCCTTGATGCTTTGCATCAATGCTTTTCTTGTTATGTACTATAATTCATCTTGCAGGGCACCAGAGTTTGATACATACGGAATTTTGCATAACTAGAGTTGCATCAAAAAATCATTTATGTTCATTTTTTATGATAGCCACACTTTATCCTTGCATATCGTGGCTATTTCCTTAACTAAAAAAACTAAAAAAAGAATTAAAAAAAATATTGACTCGTCTGGGATTTCAACTCCAGACCTCTCACACACTAAACGAGCGCGTTACCCCTGCACCACGGAGAAGTTATAAAAACAGTGGCTGAATAAAATCAAGTCATTCTAAATTTAGAATTTCCATTGCATTTCGGGTTTTTAAAGCAGCACAGGCTGAATAAAATCAAGTCATTCTAAATTTAGAATTTCCATTGCATTTCGAGTTAGGGTAATTTAGAGGTATTTTGTTCAGGGTAAACCTGTAGTAAATAATTTAGCAAAAATATTCTCGCCCAAACAGTCCAACATGTAGAAACTATATATTCAACTACTCGGCAGTCAGATTTATTTGTGTAGTATTCGGTAATCGACATCGCTTAAAAAAGCATTTTCATTGATTAAAATCATATTCACCCGCGTAATTTGTGAGTGTGCATTTATTGACAATTCTATAAGCCAACGCTACTTTTAAAGTTTGAATGTGTAGTAATTTGTTGGACAATTGTAACAAAAAATTGTTCTTTCTTTTAAATTGCTGGTTTTTAAGCAGTTTTGAGTGAGAACTACTTTGCGTTGTTAGGTCTGTTAGGAAATTTTGTGTTAGACCGTGGATGTTACCTATGTATTTACTGATCTGCGATCAGAAAATACAAAAAAACCGTTACTCTGTCTTGCCTTTTTAGCTCACCTGTCACAAAGTGACAGGGTGAGCTTTTGTGATCGCTTTTCGTCCGGCGTCCGTCGTCCGTCGTCCGTAAACTTTTACTTTAAATGACATCTCCTCATGAACCACTAGGCCAATTTCATCCAAACTTCACAGGAATGTTCCTTTGGTGGTCACCTTTAAAAATTGTTCAAAGAATTTAATTCCATGCAGAACTCTGGTTGCCATGGCAACCGAAAGAAAAAACTTTAAATATCTTCTTTTAAAAAACCCTAAGAGCTAGAGCTTAGATATTTGGCATGAAACATTTTCTAGTGAGTGTCTACCAAGTTTGTTCAAATAAAAGCCCTGGGATCAAAATTTGCCCCGCCCCAGGGGGTCATTGATTTTCCCTATATGCATATAGTAAAAACTTAAAAAATCTTCTTTTAAAAAACCCAAACAGCTACAGCTAAGATATTTAGTATGAAACATGTTCTAATGATTGTATACCAAGTTTGTTCAAATAAAAGCCCTGGGGTCAAAATTGGCCCCGCCCCAGGGGGTCATTGATTTTCCCTTTATGCATATAGTAAAAACTTAAAAAATCTTCTTTTAAAGAACTCAAAGAGCTAGAGCTAAGATATTTAGCATCAAACATGTTCTAATAGGTGTCTACCAAGTTTGTTCAAATAAAAGCCCTGGGGTCAAAATTGGCCCCGCCCCGGGGTCATTGATTTTCCTTATATGTGTATAGCAAAAACTTAAAAATCTTCTTTGAAAAAACACAAATAGCTAGAGTTAAGATATTAAGCATGAAACATCTTCTAGTGAGTGTCTACAAAGTTTGTTCAAATAAAAGACCTGGGGTCAAAATTGGCCCCGCCCCGGGGGTCATTGATTTTCCTTATATGTGTATAGCAAAAACTTAAAAATCTTCTTTGAAATAACCCAAATACCTAGAGTTTAGATATTAAGCATGAAACATCTTCTAGTAAGTGTCTACAAAGTTTGTTCAAATAAAAGCCCTGGGATCAAAACTGGCCCTGCCCCAGGGGTGTCATTGTTTTTAACTATATGTGTATAGTAAAAACTTAAAAAAATCTTCTTTTAAAAAGCCCAATGAGTTAGAGCTTAGATAATTAGCATGAAACATCTTCTGATGGGTGTCTACCAAGTTTGTTCAAATAAAAGCCTTTGGGTCAAAATTAGCCCCGCCCCAGGGGGTCATTGATTTTCCCTATATGCACATAGTAAAAACTTAAAAAATCTTCTTTTAAAGAACTTAAAGAGCTAGAGCTAAGATATTTAGCATCAAACATGTTCTAATAGGTGTCTACCAAGTTTGTTCAATAAAAGCCCTGGGGTCAAAATTGGCCCGCCCGGGGGTCATTGTTTTTCTTATATGTGTAAAGCAGAAACTTAAAAAATCTTCTTTGAAAAAATCCAAATAGCTAGAGTTTAGATATTAAGCATGAAACATCTTCTAGTGAGTGTCTACAAAGTTTGTTCAAATTAAAGCCCTGGGGTCAAAATTGGCCCCGCTCGGGGTCATTGATTTTTCCTTATATGTGTATAGCAGAAACTTAAAATCTTCTTTGAATAAACCCAAATAGCTAGAGTTTAGATATTAAGCATGACACATCTTCTAGTAAGTGTCAACAAAGTTTGTTCAAATAAAAGTCCCTGGGGTCAAAACTGGCCCACCCCAGGGGTGTCATTTGTTTTTAACTATATGTGTATAGTAAAAAACTTTAAAAAATCTTCTTTTAAAAGCCCAATGAGCTAGAGCTTAGATGTTTAGCATGAAACATCTTCTTATGGGTGTGTGTGTGTGTGGGGGGGGGGGGCTATATACTATATACAGGTGAGCGACCTCAGGGCCATCATGGCCCTCTTTTTTAAGTTATTGCCCATTATATTTTTCACTTTGAACTTTGTGCGGGACAAACGACAAGTGATATCAACAAGAAACTACTTCTCTGTGTCCAAAACATATTCGAGGAGCATCACCCTACGTTAAGTTTCATCAATATTGTTTAAATGGAATCAAGAGGATAGTGTATAAAGTAAAATGTAAGCGAACCTACGGCATGCTGTGTACGAAAGACAGTGACTAATCCATGCAGTACACATTGGTAGTACATGTAGAACCAGATGACACGTTTTTTATTACGATACGTGCAAAAGTAAAGAGACACGTTGTCTTATGATTTATAACCTTTCTGATCTAATTCAGAGGATATATAAAAGGTTAAGAACTATATACAATGTACTACCAAAAATTTAAAATTATAATTAGTTCTGCACACATCAAAGCTCTGTGCAGTTGTCAAGCTGGTAGGTGTCATGAAGATGCATAAGTGACCAGTAGTTGATACATATTTTTAAATATCTTTCAACCGGACGTTTCAGTACCATGTCATCAAATTATATCATGACTTGGACATTTCGGGTGGATTTAATTGTAGTTTTGCCCTTGGCATTTGAAAGCCATTTACTGGCATATAGAATTGCAACTATTTTACTGGTAAGACAGTGAACTGCCACTGCATTTTTTGTATTGATATATTGAAAGAAAGCACACAATTAATTATGTTGAGTAGTTTTTCTTTCATCTTTATTTTCGAGTTATTTGACCATTTCACATGGTCATATTTAATAATTATTGTTTCTCTTAAATCATAATTAAGGAAAACGACGGAAGTAGTATATTACAATCATAAATGCCCAAATACCAAAGGTATTAAATTTAAAAAAGAAGGAAAAAAGATTAACGTCTCTTTTCTTTTCCCTTTTTCATTTCTCAGTTCTAAGCCAAGTGATTGCATTGACTTTTCTTTTGTATCCACGGAGATCTTGTGTTTTTGGTTATATAAATCTTGTTTTTCATTCCGTTCTATCGTATATATAGTTGTGATAGAAACGTCAACAGTGCATTTAACACATTAAGTTAAAGATAATAATACAACTGGCATTTTATAGTAAAATTTATTATTTCAACTGTCGTCATAACATGAGGAAATAGAAATAAAACAATATTCGGAGTCATTTCCAAATCTGTATAAACAGTATATTCTCTTGTGAGATACTTTGTTAAACGGAATTGTTGCGTTTGACATAAATACGGACGTCAACACATTTACTTTTTGAAGGTTGAAAAATATACACGTCGTATGTAAGATTTTTAAAATAATTATGACTCCATCGATGCAGCGGGCATATTTAATTTTGTTATATAGACTATGCCAGGCAGTGTTTATACCGGTGGTAAGTTTTTTAAAATTATTTTTTTCATTTTTACAGTATTCAGGTTAAGTTTAAGAACATGTGACAAGTTTTTATACGTTTTTTTCATCGTTAAAGTACGAAATTACGTAACAAAAAGTTCTAATTATGATTATATAATTCAGCAAAAATTTAGAAATTGATTGATTGATTGATTGTATTTTACGTCACATCGACACAGTTAAGTCATATCGCGACGTTCCAGCTTTACTGGTGGAGGAAGACCTCAGTTGCCCTTCCGTGCATTATTTCAGGCACGAACGGGCACCATCGACGTTCCGTAAGCTTATTGGATAGCTTTCTCACATGAAAGAATCCAAAGTCCCTGTCGGGATTCGAACCCACAGCGGTGAGGGGCAAGTGGTTTGAAGTCAACGACCTTAACCACTCGGTCACGGACGCCCCCACTAATAGTGGTCTTATACATAAAACGCACCCTTAAGGGTTCATTTTACTTACGGATGCGCTTGCATGCATATTGTCTCAGCTATATTCGAAAAAGTTTTTTGTATAATATCTCATGACTTTAAAAGTTGTTTTGTACGTATTTTTCATGACCTCATTTCTTGGCGGAAGGATTTGCAAAAGATAAGTATCTTGCGTATTTTTAAATAGGACTAATTACACGGTAAACAAGAAATATAACGGATAAAGATAGTAAATGTATTATATTTTGGGCCGGATATCGTTAATGTTTAAAACTGAAGAATATACTTGTCTCAATTAGGAATTTAGCATCAAATTTGACTGCTTTACCATTAAATGCGAAATTAGATAATTGGGTTTATAATCCTTTACATTAACTGGACTAAGTTAGACTCCATATGTTCACCAATCGATTTAGTATTCTCATACCGAGAAGTGAGGGATAATCACGATAGTGAATCGCATACCAAATTGTATTGATCAAAACATAATGGCTTCAGGTCGGTGTAAAGTACTTTATAAAGTAACGCAACTATTTTATCGTTGTACTTAATTACTTACCATGACCTGTATTATATATACACTACATATGTGCATTCGTTTCACCTTGGACAAAATAAGTCCCAGGTTTCAAGGGATATTATAAACATACTATAAATATAACGCATTGTTTTTGTTTCTTTTAAGAATCAACTGATGCGTTTCGTTCAAAACTCAATCAGAAATGGAAACAGAAAGCTTTAGATGAGCTGAATGAGATCGACAAGGAAAGAGACGGTGCAGTTCAGGCGCTCCGAGAATGGTCACTTCAACAACCATGGCTGAAAACACCAACTGGTTTGTTTTTAGTAATCTTATTTTATCATATAAACCTCACAATTTATAATCTGCATTTATTAATTATAAAAATAAAGACATTTATGAATATTGCTGAATACTTTAAAGGTCATTATGGTTTGACATACCTCATAACCTTAACAAACGTATATCTAACGTTTTGATTTATTAGATGATATTAACAGAAATGACCAAAATTAAATAATTTTCTATTGCTTCTTTCAAGACACAGAATTTTTAATCCGTTTTTTGAGGGTTCGAAAGTACTCTCAATTGGCAGCACGAAGTACATTGGAACAATATTGGACAGCAAGAACTAAATATAAAGATTGGTACAATCCCGAAGTCAGTCCTGATAACCCCATTATATTGGATATTATCAAATCCGGGTATGTTTGATATATCAGTAATTATTTAATGCATTTACAAAATTCAAATTTACAAATACAAAATATTTGCTGTCCTTTCTAAAATTAAGTCATAGTTCCTAGTGACATTCGTGTACATGTATACTATTGTTTTGTTTTTTATAGATAATATGCATGATAATGGTATGCTACGTTAAGCTAATATTTCAAAATGATAATTTTGAATTGAACTTTATTAACTGATATGACTATTCCACATTTATTCAATATGTCGTAATTCTCATATATTTGAAAGGTTTTACCTTTTTACACCTGGAGAAGACAGTCAAGGGAGAAGATTAATAATTGAACGGCCAGGTATAACCTTGAGGATGGTTTATTAATTATTTTTGATACGATGTGAGTTTGTATTTAATCAGAAATCACCGAGAGAAACATGTGTAATCTTATGATTGATAAAATAGTTTTCACAATTTAAATCACAAGTTAACATTGTAAGATAAAAGCTTTTCAGCAACGTTTACAATTTTTTAACGAAAGTCGATGATATATTTATGGCCTGAGGCAACACTCTGTTAACTGCTCCGCTTTATGACTTCTGTATTCGTCTAATTAAAGCTGCACACACTGTTGATTTTCTTTATAGATGAGAGTCATCGAACCGCGTCACAAAGTGATCTGATAAATTTTGCTACATTTTCCTGGTTTCGGCCGTTGACTTGCTACATAAAATTGTACACTAATAAGATTCAAAATATAAATAAATGAAAAATGTATATCATTGTATTGGTTCTGATGCTTAATGTAAAACACTACGTGACAACCTAAAATTTGCTTTCAGATGTATTAGGACAAAGGCAGGCTTATTTTAATGCCTAAAATGTGATAAGGATGCTTCTATGAGCTTGAGTTTAACTAGATGTAGTGTCTTTAAGGTGATTCCGCATTGTCAGCCATGTTTGTTTTCGCTATGTGGGTTCAAAGTGAAAGTAGGCCAAAATTCATATAACAACATTGCTAACTTGTAAAATGATGAACAATTTGCAATTACACTTACAGGTATATGTTTTAAGGACTATTATAAACAAAAATAAAAAACAATAACAATAAAAATATTTTCCTTGAATGTGCTAAATTTCTGAAGACCGAGTACAATCTGTTGCAAAGTTTTATGCACATTTCATGAATGGCAAAAATCCAGTTTAAAGTCTATTTTAGTGCAGAAAAAAGCTATTTTTTGCAGTAAATACAGAAAAAAACTTGCAAAAACTTAAATGTAAGGAAAGTAGTTTATCTGACCTTGATAAGAACATAGCCTCCATGCTGTGTGTAAAAAAGTAATACTAGATAAATAAACATCTTTTTTTTCTCTTTCTTGTGTGCATGATAGACAGACACACTTCACTGTTACACAAAAGAAATGTTAATTTAAAAAGTGAATGCTGCTTTCATTTTAATTGCAGTTCATAAGGCTATAAATGGTGATTGTCTTCTTGCACTTGTATTTACTGCAAAAAATAGCTTTTTTCTGCACTAAAATAGACTTTAAACTGGATTTTTCCATTCATTAAATGTGCATAAAACTTTGCAACAGATTGTACTTGGTCTTCAGAAATTTAGCACATTCAAGGTAAATATTCTTATTGTTTTTTGTTTTGTTTATAATACTCCTTTAAATATAGACCTGGAAGTGTAATTGCAAATAGTTCATCATTTTACATTGTGAGTTTTGTTGTTATATGAATTTTTGCCTACTTCCACTTTGGACCCATGAAGTGAAAACAAACATGGCTGACAAAGCTGAATCACCTTTAAATGAGAGATTTTCAAATGTTTATTTATTATCCTTATATGCTTACTGTACCGGTATTATATCATGTTTTCTTTCAGTAAAATTGATGTATGTATTTCTTTTTTAATGTTTATTCCAAACGTATTTTACTCGGGGACATACACCGTTTTTTTCATAGAATGACACGAATGTGTCACATTTAAGGTTTCACGATAAAGCCGTATGAACACAACTGCCTTTATTCAAAATATATCCATTTTCATATTCTGCTTTTGTCTAGCCGTTGCTTAAGGTACGTTGACGTTAGCTTGAACTTAACACATCCATGATCAAGTTCTATCAAACTGAGCCTGAATCATTTTAAATTTTGCCGTTTTATTTATATTTTACCATTTTTATATTTTGTTGGAAAAATAATCACAAAAGAGCTGTAAAATTTATACATTTTATCAATGTACATTTTATTTCAGGCGCCTTGCGGGTGGAGGAAATAATTAAAAAGTATGGAACAGTTGATGTTATATTTCAAGCTGTTATGTGTATTTGGGATGTCCTCAATATGGACGAACGTATTCAAGTTAATGGTTTTCTATTATTACACGACGGCACGATGTCAGACACGGATACAGCCAAGTCTTACAATATATCAACAATGAAAAGATGCATGCATATATATCAAGTGAGAATTTTATCAGTCCTTCTGGATCTTTTGGTCCCAAGTTCTTTAAGCTTTTATATGACTTAGTTGGTACTTCTAAAGCCAGTACAAATGCTGCTTAATCTTGTCATTAAAAAAAACTTACGCAGTCGTTAATTCATCGTTATTTCAATTATTGTTTTCATAATTTTACTTTGTAGAGAAACAACTTTTCATCAATTTCTGTGTCATTATATTCGTTTATAGAAAACTCATATCAGTTATTCACTGATCGCAAAATGTGCGTTTATGAAAACTGCTTAACATTTAAAACGTAAAACATAAACAAAATTGTCCATATGTATTAGTTGTTATTGTACACAAGAGGTAAATTAATCTAAATTATATCAGAATCAATATTTACCATAACATAAGAAGATATATATCCAATTCAAACCTTCCTTATTTTCTTTCAAGTTTTTCTTACTCTTTGTATCTATAACCATTCCGTCATTAGTCATTGATTTTTTGCAATATTGAGGTGTGTGATTTTTATGTATATATTTTGTTTTCAGAAAGCCTACCCTACACGGATCAAAGGTTTACATGTGTATGGTTTACCTTTAATGTTTGAAACGTTATTAAGATTTGTCAAGTCCCTATTCAGTGACAAAATTGCCAACAGGGTATGTATTATAATTATTTTCATATATTACATGATTTTGATTAATTTATTAAATAATTAATTTCGATAGCTACATTAAATTCAGTCAAATGCTCTTTTAATCAAAGAAAACATTTCAGAATACTTATACTGTAAATGATCATGCACGAAAATGTTATGTCGATTACCTAGCTTAAAATGGCTTCCGGTACATTAATAAAATGTAGTCTTATGAACCAGTTTTGCACATTTTAACTTGATATTATTGACTCTTGTGACAATTTCGACGTTTCTTTCATTTTTATAGCTTCATATACATGGGAAAAGTTTGGTGTCCGTTTATAAATATATAGATCAAAGTGCGTTACCAAAAGAATATCTCCCTGATAACTACGATGGGAAGTCTGCAGGATCTATAAACGATGTTGTGGGTAAATGCCTATCAAATATATTAAATAGCCTCAACATAGCAGATCAATCGTTATTTGCATATATATTGCTTTGAGACGTTACGAAATGCTATAACTTACTCGTTGTTGTAGTATTGTATTGTTAACTACAAGACTTCATGATATCATTCAATAAATATGTACGTAGTTGACACCCATCAAGATCGTTTGTTTTAATCGTTTGTTATTACCGTCGGACTGTTTTGTTGGATAAGGATAGACTAAAATGTAGTGTATTTAATTTTGTTGTATTTGATAAACGTTTAATTTTAACACAAGTATAAGTGTGTCTTTAAAGTACTTGTAAGTCAATGTTTCATGGTATCCGGGTACGTTATTAGTATTTACTTCCTATGAATTGTGCTGATAATTTTCATTTTAAGTCAGCTGCCTTGGATTGCGGTAAGGCCTTTATAGCAAAGCTTATACCATAACCACTTTACTAGCTATATCATCTCTGTCAATGTTTCATTTTTGTAAATGGTCACATTTTATTAGTATCAACTTTCTTTGTGTCATGAGTAAAATACTGTAAACATTGTTCTAAAATGCTCGACATTTTAATTAACAGTGTTTAACTTTATAATTTATTTTTTTACAGATAATATGGTACAAACATTTAAACAACCAGATGTTGTAGAGCATATTCGTGATCTTAACAGCGGAAAATACGGTGTGGACATTGAGATGAAAGCTAAATTTGATGTTCCGACCGAGTCATACAGGAAATTAAATATTGATTAATTGATCCAATGAAATATCTGTGATCGGATATAATGAAGTTGCAATTTAATATTACCTCATGCATATACCAGGATTAAACATATTCATAAAAAAGATAATAATGTTGTTTTTCTTCAAACGAATAAAGGGCCATAGCTTTTTGAGTTTGTACGAAATGATATATAGCATGTATGTAAATTAATATACACTGTACAAAAAATTCACGGTAATAAGCTTAATCGGCTATGTATGTCACAATATTTCATAGTTTCTTCTTAATGATCTCGAATAATAAATACGGTAGATATCCATATTTCAAACTTACTTATTTTCGTCATATCGAATTTTTTTTGCTTTCAATCCTTTAACTGTGTTCAGTCCTTAAAAAGTTTTGGTTACATCTGACGGATTGATTGTACAATTTAAACACATTGACATTGAACATTTTTAATTATCCTGCATCTTTTGCTTGCATCGTCAGTTCCTTGTTTCTTATTTTATTGTTGACCTGCTTTCCTCAAAGAAAGTGATCCCCTTTGTTAATATCATTAGTATATATGCAAGTTTAAAGTGTTTTATACGATTAACTTTAAATAAAGACCTACAGATCGTGATCAGTTTTGGGTGTTTTATCTATTTCTCCTCAACCGTAAAATGTTTTAAAAATTTAAAGGCTAGGAACTTATAATGATAAGGAACACTATAGGGCTAAAATTATGTTTGATAAATCTTTAACCGATTGACACTCCTCAGTAGTGTTTTGCTGCAATCCCTTCCAAGGAGGAGCTCCTCCTTATTCCTCCCAGTACGGTTTGTGAAAAGCTTTATGCATTGAAGAATTTACAGACTTTTTATGCATCTTCATCTGTGAGGGCATGGGCATACCTTTAAACATATTTAATTCATCTATCTTTCTTTCTTTCTTTACACATATTGCCTTAATACTCTAAAAGCACATTTACACCATCCTTAACCACTACAAGATTAAGGTAATTACACAAAGCTGTCAGCTCTACAAAACATCATATAAATAAATAAATAAAATCCCTAATAGTATTTCCCTGGTACTAAAAAGTTCTGAGACCATCTTTACCTACCAGTGCAATGAGTACATGGTGCGAAATCTGAGATCAGACATGCAGCATCTTTTGTTGAATCAAGCCAGCAGCATTTTCAATTTATTTTCGGATTTTTGTAAGGTTTTCTTTTCCGCTCTGTTCTTAAAGGGAAGATTACTCAAGAAAAAAAATTGACACAGCTATGAATTGACAGAGTCAAAACCTTTTGTTTCTGTCAGAAAAAAGAATATACCTTGGAAAGTCATTGTTATTTGGTGAAGTTGGAAAATACGCATTTATCTTGCAATAAGTAGTTAAGAAAGCTACATAAATACGAGTATATTGAGGAAAAAAGCCTTTATAATGTATAATTTTCTAAGTACAGAAACGTTCATAATATATCAAAATCCATATAGACTTACAGGCGTTTGACAGTGGCCTATTACGCTTTAAAAAAATGGTTTCAACCAGTTCCATTTAGTAGTTTTTGAGATACCAATTTTGGGCGTCCGTGGTCAAGTGATTAAGGTCGTTGACTTCAAACCACTGGCCTTTCACCGCAAGCGTCGTCGGATTTTATATGTGAGAAAGCTATTCAGCTAGCTTACAGAACAACCGTGGCTCTAATCATGTGCTCTTTTGTGTCTGATAATATACAGAGGGGCACCTGAGATCTTCCTCCATCAGCGAGGCTGGAAAGTCGCCATATGACCTAAACTTGATAATGCGACATGAAACACAAGCAAAAATAATTAAAAAAGAGACCAAATTGCACGTAAAATACTTAAACAAAGTAGGACGCCGACGCCTGGGTGAGTTCAATAGCTCTACCTATATTTCTAATAGCCAAGCTAAAAATGAATGCAGAGAAGTGGATTTCTGCAAAAATATGCTACTTGCGAGCGCTGTTTGGCAGCTGTAAAAAGTTGCCCCATACTTCACTTCAGTGTTGTTATATTTTTCTGGTCCTTCGGGATCATTGATGCCAGCACTATTAAGTGTTGAGAATTGAGAACCGCCCAAGCCGGTGCTAGAGCTAGGTCGTGAAGGATGTTGCACTTGTTCATTATCCCTCATGTGCAGACTCAATCAAACCGAGTCTGCAATTCTTATGTAATTTTTTTGTGATTAATGCTTTCGAGGGATCACTTTGTTTCCAGATTTTTTATACTGATAAGTTAGTGTGATAATATGAATTAAGACATGGGTATTTATTCGGAGCATGACACATCTAACTTGTATGAACATTTAATCATACCTTTTAAGAGCGCATAAAGAGAAAATAAATGGAAAAGATGCTGAAGTTATCGAAAACTACAAAGAGGAATATAACTGTGGAAAATAGATACCGTAGTTATGTAACTTACATAGTGGTTTCTATTGATCAGTAAGAGTATATTTTCATATGTCATGATGTTATTGGTACAAATAAAACTTATTATATATCCAACTTGCCGAAATATTGTTATATATATCTTTTCCGAGTGCTTAAAAGAGAAATACTTAAGCAGAAATAGATACGACAGTTACATAATTTCAAGGTTTAGAACTTCGAGGATAAGAAGTGTATACAGTATGAAGCCATTATTACTGATTAAACATAGGATATATCAAACTTTAAAAGTGCTAAAAAGAGAAACAGCAGGGGAAATGGATATGACAGTTGTGAAATTAATTAAATTTGTTAAGAGGATGGACTCTTAATAACAAATGAAATTTATGCTTCATTAACAAAGTTTTCTAGGAGACACATGATACAATATTATACTTATTGCATATACTTGCATGTTGTAATTATTTCTTTACAAAGCAAGGTTGTTTTTTTTTAAATGTGTATTGTTTTTACTATTCATGAATTCATAAATCTTCAAATTTCAATGCATTAGGATACTTATTAAAATACGGTTTAATAAATTTACGTCTACTATTAACAAAATGTGAACAATAAAAGAGATAGTGAAATTCGTCACCCAGTTGGTTTGACTCATATAAAGTATATATACGTAAATTTCTCTCTATATTTAGGAATCTGCCTTTCTCAATTGTCATTTAATGATACATGCATCTAAATTTTAACAAGGCTGAAGACAGTTACCAAGGAAGTATGTTAAAATATAATATAAATCCGTGGTTAAAATAATCTTCAAATACAAACTCCGATTTATATAAACGGTAGTTTAAAAATTTGCTTAAAGATTGGACATTTACTGTCAGTTCTTGAAGTTGACTAATAACAGTACTAGTTTGCATCTTATCATTTAATTTACTACTCTATATCTTACATTGCAAAACTTAACACCAGTAGTTTATAAATCTACTTATTATTTGCAAATTTCGGATAACTCCAGTTTCACATTTAACATACAATTGGATACTTTGTTGAGGTTAGTTATAGGATAATAATTATGTGAAAATCTTATATAGCTGAAACTGTTCATACATTTAATTTTATAAATTCCCAAACTTCAGACCATAACAAGATATTAACAATCATTTTTTAAACAAGTGATTTATATAGATCTACGGATAGTTAAAAATTTTGCTTTTTATCAAGATGAGAACATACTACTCGCTTGTCAATTAGAACGTCTGTTTAATAACAATTTACATAGTTTCCATTTAATGAATACATAGATAAGAAAAACCATGTACTAATTCTAGGTTCTCATTTTTAAATGAAAATTAAAATGCATTTTCAAAAACAAAAAAAATGCTATTTTATTTGTGGTATTTTAAATTCTTTTCTGTATTTAGTTTGTTTATGTTTGCGTCCCTTACGTTTTTTGACAGATGGCGCTACATTTGACGTCAACAAACCGGATCGATTTTCTGCAAAGTTCCAATAAATTGTCTTTGGATTTGACAGGAAGGAACATTGCGTCACTGAAAGGCAAAGTGAATATTCAATTTATTTTTTGGAGTTGTTTACAGAAAAAACTTACGTCAGGTAATATTATTCGTCGTGTTTGTTTTGCACATGGTGTTATATTTCTAGAGTCAGTGTACCCGGTTCCGCACAGGACCCGGTCCCGCACACTTTCCCATTTTTCATTTTTTCTTGAAAATTCAAATGAATTTATTCAGTTTTCATTTGTGTTTTACTGAACTGGCATGTTTTCAACAGGATATGACATAATCTGGGATCTTGCACCCCAGCCTTTCCCTAAAGAGTGCAGACAAAAATGTAAATACATGTACATGGCTGTGTAGGTCACACATAAAAACATCTTTTTCAGCAATTAAACCATGCTAATTTCTATTTCAATGTTAAGATATTTATAAAATATATATTAGAAAATAAATGTATGTTTTTGTTTTGGCAAATTTGCTGTTAGTTATGAAATATATGCACATGATTTAACTTCTCCCAATAACCAAACGTCAAGTCATTTCACTTTGATTCTTTTGTTTAAAATGATACCAAAACTCTTAATCGAACAAGTCATAACTAAACAGATGAAAAAACCTTCAAATAATAATGTTTTATGTCTGTGTTTACTACCTACAAGTGGTAAAAAAGTATCATTCAATTGCTGTTACATGTTTCCTATGTGCTACTATGCTTGGAAATAAATGTTTGTATACTGTAGTAAGAATGTGCTTTAAATTTATTTGAACTCCTGAAAATTTGCAAAACAATATAACTTATCTGGACTTAGAGATGTTAAATAATTTTATATAAAACATGTTTAAGATGTACAATAACCTTTCAGTATAAAAGTGGCCTTGTGTGCGGAACCGAGTCCACTATTTATCATATTTGGCCCATACCTGTTGCTTAAAATCAAGTGCGCCTAGAAGTATGACCTACATAAGATAGAAACGTTTTGGTCATCAGTTTTTTATGGACAAAGGATGTAATTTTCAAAAATAATATCAATTATAAGAAGAATTTTTAACTATAAGATAATTTTCTTATTTTTCCTTAAAAAAGTGTACGACTCCGGGTACACTGACTCTACCGGTTAAATGACAGTTTCAGTTTGATGATATTTTTTTTCAGTGTTTTCACGATAGTTTTATAATTTGACATTATACGACAGTATATTTCAGAAATTATGACTGAATGTTTATACATCTGTGCTAGAGTTTTGATATACTGCTTCTTGCTTAATTTGACATATAGATCTATGGCACAAAATCACAATTATTTTTCACCCCCACAAATCAAAATAAATTAATGATACAAAATAAAGATTCAGGGAGATTTAAATTTTTTAACTGCAGTTGTGATTTATGGGTAAATAGATCGATACAAGGGGGTTCCAGGCTACCTAAATTTGTTACACCTCAGTACCATGTGTACGGACAGATATGTACATGATATGATTTAATTTAGTTCTAATCCAAATTTTAAGCCCTTTTTAGCATTTTTAGATTTTCATCTGATTCGCAGTCAATGTAAAAAAGGTAACTGGAAGACCTTAAAGCTGATAAGTTCAATTAAATGCAGTGCATAATAACCGTTGGTTAAACCACTTGACTTATCATCTGAGGTCAAGTTGAATCTGGATTACACCCTTGGGATTTTTCAGAGACACTTTCAGTGTTTCCCCACCTACCTAGAGGTGTACTGGTAAGAAATCCAGGTAATCCTTGCATGTATCAGTGCTATAAACTGGGCATGTAAAAGAACCAAGGGGTCTATTCAATAAGAGCTAGGGACTGGTTCCCGGATTCCCTTGTATCTTAAAGCTGTTTCTTAAATGTATACAATGTATACCTGCTTAGAGTGATCGAAAACGATTTTAAAGCAGTATGATGTAGAAAAAAAAAAAAAAAAAAAAAAAAAAAAAAAATTTTTTTCATTTTAACATGATAAACAATATTTCAGCAGCAAATGCTAAAGTTTTGGATATTCTATTGTTTACTCTGCAAATGATTATAGCTGGTATATCAGGTCAGGTATTGCACTCGTAACGCCCAAATTTTCAATGTCGGCATTCTTGAAATAGACATTAAAATATTACTGTTGAAATAAATTTAATTACTTATTTATAGAAGAAACATGCATTTATTGTTGATAAAAAAGTGACTGATAGATCTTCAACCAATGAACAAAGAAAAACAACTTAATTAAGCATTTTCGGGTGTTTGGTGGTTGTCCGGTTTTGTTGGGCCCCAACCAGTAGATAGTGAACATCATTAATTTGGTGTCATCACTTATTTTACAGTAATGACATATTTTCCATGTGTTCAGTCAGTGTTAACATTGATCAAGATTGAGATATTCTAATCATACATGTAAACAACAAAGTTTTTTTTGCAAAATACTAAAACTCTGTAGATTTTTAAGTAAAACAGAATAACACATATATATATTACTTATTCCAGTACATTATAAATTATTAAAATGTGAGTCATGTGAGTGTACACATTGTAAATTTGTCTAAGAACATTATTAACAATTTTTTTAAGTTGATAAAATTTGATATCATAAGGTAAATCACATCGAAAAACAGCTTTTCGAAATTGAAATTTTTTTAGTCATGATTCCCAAAAATTCTAACTTTACCGATTTTTATCCCTCACAATTTAACGAAATTTCCAAAAATTTAGGTAAAGTTCAGCTTTCAAAATTAATTAAAACCAATCAATGATTTTCTGTAGTTTCAACATTGTCAATTTGAGCATATATAATCACTCTACAACAATTTTCTAGAAAATAAAACTCGAATTTAGTAAACCTTGATAACTTTGAACTTAGATTGATCTCAGTATATAAATCTTACTTGGTCTTTGGATAAAAAAATTATAATTTTAATAATATTTTGACAGTACATTGGCCCTATATAAACAGATTTTTTAAAGTACGTTTGGGCTATATTGAAAGAACGCGTTTACATAACCTTAGTAAACTTGTGAAATATTTATAATGAATTTATAGTACAGCAAGCATCATTTTTAGAGGAATAAAGCGAAATTTCTTTATAAATCGACAGCAGCCGTGTATATAAAACTATATAAACGTCACTATTATCCAATGAAAAGCGACGTTACAAACATGCAGTATTATAAAAAAGTGTTTTAATACTCTCTTAAACTTTTAAGTAAACATGTACAGTTGCTGGTTTGTCATCATACATGTACTTGTGCGCCTTATTCTGTCTTCTGTCATAATTCATTTTATAGACTGAATCAGGATATATTTAGTGTGTTTGTTCCTCACATCAGGGTTCTAGCCAGTAATTTCCTACGGCATGTTGCAAAAATGAAATTTACAAGGCAAGCAAGTTGGAATGTTGAAATCTTATAATAGTAAAGGGAAGTGAATGTTAGCTATTACTAGTATTCGTTTATTTCAGTGTTGTATATAATACCAGACAGGTGCTCTGGGTGAGTTTAGACATTGAAGAAGCAACTTGTATGTCTGAAGGGGATGGTTTATGAATGCTGTCCCCTGCTATACACTTAGCAAATTTTTTAATCTGAGAATGAAAATTATGTTATTTTCAAGACTTTTTAGTGCCTTTATGTAGCTTTTTGATAATTTGACAATATTTTTACATTTTATTCATTAATTTGTGATTTACTTCATCACATTACAATAAGGTTTTTTTCCCTTTCAAATAATCCATAAAATTTTAATGTTTATGCTGACATTTAAATTTAACTTTTTTCATCTCAGTTTGTAACTAAAACAACAGCCATGTATAAGATAATTATAAACTTTAAGTCTTGTAAGTATAATCAATCACTCCATCCTACAATCAATACATCTGAAAATAGGTTTGGAGCTTTCTTACCTAATAAACACTTCTGGAACTTCTGTCAGCTGGTGAGAGTAGATGTTCTTTGTGCTTGTGATAATTAAATTGTTTACATTTATAGTATTGGTGGATTCTATTGATAATTGTTGATAATACATGTTACAGATTATGTATTATAACATTGTAAATGATATCTAACACAAGTAAAGAGACATTGCCTTTGGCAGTTTTGTAATAGTTAGGAATATCACTGTCAAATGGTCTGAAAAAAAAAAAACAACAAATATTTTTGTTTTGCTATGAAAATTTACAATGTTCATTGAACCAATGAAGCAAATCAATATATTACATATTAATTCGTTAGCTTCAAAATAAATTAAGATATGGAGAAACATCTTGTAGATGTGTGTACGTCTTGCCATTATGCATACATGTATAAATGCTAATTTGAAAATAACAAACATAGATTGTTATGCAGTTGACTGTAAGTATGTAAGTTACATGTATGTCAAATAAAGAAAGATTGCTGCATTATTATGTTTCATTAAGTTGTGTTATAGAGTATTGTTTGTGACCAAGATGTTATAAGTTGTAAGAAATGATCATGTTTTTAGCAAGCCTGTCTCAATGTTATTATTACATGGTACACATTTTACTTTTCATTTTACAGGTTATTATGTGTGACATAAATAACAAGTATGGCAGAGAATGATGCAGCTTGTTCCCATAGTAGCAGACTTAAACAAAATATAAACAAAAAAAAAGTTAGTGTAAATACATCTCCAGGGTAGCCGAGTGCAAATTGAAATTTGCAAAACAACGTAGTTCTTCAGAGTACAGATTTCAAAATGTCAGAGTACCACAAAAAATATTTCTGTCCGAGATTGTTAGACTATATAGTGATAGCAGGAAGTCGACATCACAATAATAATAACAATGTTGCTCAGACGCCGGAACTTTTGAGGCGTTATCCACTTGAAGATCATGCAGATTTTCCTCTTCCAACAGATGTGATATTCTTTTGCCAGCCAGAAGGTTGTATTAGTGTAGGTCCGAAACGTATGAGTCTCAGAGAAACAACATCTTTTGTATTTACACTGACCGAAAAAGACTCTGGTAAAGTAAGGTATGGCATGTGTGTTAATTTTTTCCGCCCGTTTGAAAAACACAAGGAAAAAAGACAACACAGTAGTAGTTCCGATCGCCAGTACAGCACCGGAAGTTATTCTGAAGGAAATAGGACAGTTTCAAATTTACAACACAATGACTCTGACTCTAGGTCGCCTCGAACTAGTAGAAGAGCAAAAACTGCTTCTCGTGTGAGAAACAACACATTAACATCTCTATGCATTATTAGTCATCATCCATTTTTCTCGACGTTTCGAGAATGTTTGTTTATCCTTCGACGTCTCATTGATGCGTGTCATGAAAGAAGCTGTGCAAGAAGAGTAGGGGGTTCAAGAAGCATGTCAAGGTTAGTTATCAAATGTACTTTGTCTTATAACTCACTGTATATTACACAGCTGTTGTTTTATTATGATAATGTTATGATTATGTTCTAAAGGACATGATAAATTCTGATTTTTGAATTTTAATGATTTTAATTTTTCATGATCTTTATACTGACAATGATCAGCCATCATATACGCTATGGTGAGAGTGTATGGAAAACTCAAATGAAGACCAGTCTACTAAGCTGTGTCCGGGTAGTGTAGGTCTTCCATCTAGTATCATTGTAAGTGCTTAGAGTCAAGAATAATATAGAAACTAACATATTAATCAATCTTCTCTGTGATGAACTATAATGTACCTATATCATACTAATGAAAATACATATTTTCTGATCTATGTAGATACACATAAAAGTCTGTTCATTTATTTAGATGTTTTGAGAGAAAATAAGAGACCTGTTTTAATTTAAATAGCACTTATGTGTGCTTTATTTGTATATTAACAGTATAATTTTTCATCAATTCTTTAAGGTTAAATGTCAACATTGAATTTCATGCAATAACTAGTAATCTAGTACTAGGATAGCTTTTAACTGGCACATTAATTTTATGTACAAATATGTTGCATACAGACATGTAGAGAAATTTTCAGGTAAAGTATTATTATCACCCTCTTAAATAGCAGTTATTTTAATAAAGCTGAAAGTAACTTAAGCGGTCTGATAGGAAAGTGTTTGTATAGGCAAAATTTATAATAGGTCAGATACATGCTGTCTGTCTAAATAGAACAGGATTTTGTTATGTCTTTATTGTAATCTAAAATTTCAAAAGATCAAGTTAATCTCTTTTTAAATAACATTTAATTTGTATATCTTTTTAAGTATTACAGAGTTTCATTTCATTACTTGTGTAAATTGAGGTTTCCAAAATATGAATGCTGAGTTGTGTAGTGATTATGCACAGTGAGCATTATACCTGGGGAGATTGATTTGTGTGTTGGGGAGATTTGTGTGTCATGCTGAGTAAATAATGGCCCTGGAGTGATAAGTGATTATGCTGAGTGAATAATGTACCCGGAGTGAGTAGTGATCATGCTGAGTGAATAATGTCCCTAGAGTGAGTATTGATCATGCTGAGTAAATAATGTCAGTGAAGTTCATTCTGAGTGAACAATGTACCTGGAGTGAGTAGTGGTTATGCTTAGTTAATAATGTACCTGGAGTGAGTAGTGATCATTCTGAGTGAAAAAATATCCCAGGAACGAGTAGTGATCATGTTGAGTAAAAAATGTCCCTGGAGTGAGTAGTCGTCATGCTGAGTGAATAATGTCCTTGGAGGTAATAGTGATTATACTGAGTTACTAATGTCCCTTGAGTGAGTAGAGATCATGTGGAGTGAATGTCCATGGAGTGAGTAGTGATCAGGCTGAGTGAATAATCTCTCTGGAGTAAAAAGTGATCATTCTGAAATAAGTAGTTATCTTGCTTAGTGAGTATTATACCTGAAGTGGGTATTGGTTATGCTGAGTGAATAATGTCACTTGAGTGGGTAGTAATCATGCTCATATAGTTATGTTCTGGGAGTGAGGGGTGGTCATGCTGAGGGAGTTTTGTTTCAGGAATGAGTAGCACTTGTGTTTAGTTAGTAATGTTTCCAAAATCAGCTGTACTCACAATTAGTGAACAATATTTCCAGATAGGTTTGTGCTGAGTGAGAGGTTTTTTTTAGACAAATTTGAATATTAAAAGGCATCTGAAGTACATAGTATGAGGATTTGACTTTGGTAACTGAAGTTAATAAAATATTTGCAATTTTTTTAACTTCTTAGTCTGCAAAATTTAATCTCAAAGTATTGTACATTGCTAATAGACAGCTTTATTACCATCACTTGATAAAGATTTTAATTAAGTTTTGCCACAAGGTCATACATAATCCTTCTGTAAAAGATCACTTCTGTTGAGTGGCTCCAGGTATCAAATGGTGAAAAGGATATTGTTAATGTTCTATATAAGGATAAAAGATGAACTCACTGAATTAAATGTCAAATTTCTCTCAATACATAGACGGTATACCTGAAATTATAGTGTGAATGCAAGGAAGTGAGGAAACTTGTATTATATTGATATGCTTCAGTTTGATTTAAGCTCTGTTGAATTATATACCTTTATAAATGCATGCATGCTGTTTATTTTACAAAACTTTAACTCATAAATTTTAATCATACACTCTTCAACAGTACATTAGCATGGAAAAAATGTACTTTAAACTACCATAAAATTTTCTCTTCCTTGAATAGATAAATCAACACTTTCAAGATCAAAATGTGTAAGATGTAAGCTTTATTAGCACACCTACAAATTCAATAAATGTTAATGTTTTATGAAAATTAAGAGCTGAGTGTTCTTATAAAATTACATCTTAGTAAAAATTCATAGAGAAATACTTATTTTATATCAAAATATGTCAGCATTTATTACATAGAAAAGTTTAATCATTGTCACTAAGTTTAAGGGGTATGACTTTAGTTTCTTTACCTTCACCTTTTTAGGTAAATCTGACATGGATCAGGAATGGTAATATTGATTAATATAATTTAATATATGTATAATATTTTATCTTTACTCTGATAATATTGCCACATAATAAAGATAATTTTGTCACACTGAAAGCCTGTTGTTATTGCATTATTTATGGGTTTATTCTCAAGACTTATAGATTTATTACATAATAATGCTTTATTCTTTACATAAATAATGGGGATTATTTGTAAATTGTCATATAAGGTAAACTAGAAAGGAAGTAATAGATAATTGTGTTATTGTTTAACTATTCAGATAAAGATCGCAAGAATACAAAACATGTTATTGTGGTCGTATATTACAACAGTAATGCATTTGAAACATATAGCTCCCAGATATGTGCATATAAACACACGCCATCCTGAAGTTTTATCTATAGGCAATCATATCTTTATGAAATCACTACTGACTCAGTTTATGTAATCTTTTCTCTGTTTTTTAATTTTTACAAAATAGAAAGATTTCATAAAGATTCTGTTATTTAGCGATTGTTTGTTATGATTTACCTTAGAAGTAAATTACCCATTTGTTATATCCGTGACTGTCAACCATTAATTCTGAAGTTGACTAAAAAATGAAAGTCAATCTGCAATAAAACTCCTATTTTGTAACATAAAGACATAATCATTCTAGATCATCTTTAAAAGATCATGTTTGAAAATAAAAAATGTGGTAAGGTAAATATTCAAATATCACATTTAAGTTTGATTTTGAAGTAAGTCTGGTGAGACGGTGCATGGATGTGCAGGCAGACTTGTCTCCAGGCATAATCCTGTAATATACAGTCAATTATACCCCAACATTTATTGATTAAATTTAATTCCTGAGTGTAATTTGACCATGCAAATCAAGTATTGAAGTGGTAATATCTTGTCTGTAGTCTAGAGTCATGTTACCTTATATGTTATGGTGTGATTAGAAAAGCTGACAGATTGGCGGTCTTACTCACTAGCTGGTACAATGTTTGATATGATAGTAAGTTTTAACAGATCCGCCAATGTCAGAAGTCTTGCTGAAATTAAACATCTATTGTCTTAAGCTGGCCTTCATTTAAGTATGATATTATAAAACTGAAATTTAACTTTATAAATTCTCATTCAGATGATCAGTAGGTTTGTCCTTGTGTCCTTTCCAGTAAAATATTTTATTTTTTAAGAACTGTGTGCTTTTGTACTTCTTTATATGAACAACAACAGTTGCCTTCCCAGCAAACATTTTATATCGGTCCAATATCAGCCCGATATCAGTTGTTATGTCGGCCCGATATCGATTTCTTATATCGGACAGATGTCGGATGTGCAACCCGGCTACAAGTCGGGCCGATATCGGCTGTATATCATTAGATCGATTTGAAGCCGGTGTCATACCGACATAATTTAACCTTTAATTTTTCTTCTAATAAAACATTTCACTTTGATTTTTTCATTCCAATTAACAAAAAAACACAATTGAGCTTAAATATAAGCTTTTTATTTTCATTTGGCAAATATACATGTATATCATAGAATCAATATTTTTTTTTAACAAATGTATGTTAATTGTGTACAGCAGTTAACATCACAGTCAAAAGAGAATTTAACAAAGATTGGAAACAAGAGCTTCACAGGAGACAGCCAAGCTCGACTATTAAATACTGGACGCAGTAAGGAGGACAAAACTATGAAAGAACTAGAAATGTGTCCATAGGACACGGGTGCCCCCACCGCGCCACTGTTCTGTCAATCTTTTTACTAAGTCAAGGGAAATAACTCTACAAATACTGGATAAATCCACAAGCGAAACCCCAGGTGCAAATCTAAATATGCTGAGCAAGCTACCCATAAGGTTTAATGACTATATGAAATCCGTTTTTGAGTAACTTGCGACACAAGTTGAAAATTGCAAAAAATTTCTAAGTGAAGGGCAATAACTCTAAAAATACTAAATAAATCACGACGAAAATACCTGGTGCACAACAACACATGCTGATCAACATTCCTGTAAAGTTTCATGACTCTAGGTCAAATACTTTTTGAGTTACATGCGACACAAGTTGAAAATTGCAAAATTTTACTAAGTCAAGGGCAATAACTCTGAAAATACTAAAAATATCCACATGAAAATACCCAGGTGCACAACTACACATGCTGATCAACATTCCTGTAAAGTTTCATGACTCTAGGTCAAATACTTTTTGAGTTACATGCGACACAAGTTGAAAATTGCAAAATTTTACTAAGTCAAGGGCAATAACTCTGAAAATACTAAAAATATCCAGACGAAAATACCCAGGTGCACAACTACACATGCTGATCAACATTCCTGTAAAGTTTCATGACTCTAGGTCAAATACTTTATGAGTTACCTGCGACACAAAAGTGAACGGACGGACGGACGGAAAGACGGACGGACGGACAAGGGTAAATCTAAATGCCCACCACTAACATTCCTGTAAAGTTTCATGACTCTAGGTCAAATACTTTTTGAGTTACATGCGACACAAGTTGAAAATTGCAAAATTTTACTAAGTCAAGGGCAATAACTCTGAAAATACTAAAAATATCCAGACGAAAATACCCAGGTGCACAACTACACATGCTGATCAACATTCCTGTAAAGTTTCATGACTCTAGGTCAAATACTTTATGAGTTACCTGCGACACAAAAGTGAACGGACGGACGGACGGAAGGACAGACGGACGGACGGACAAGGGTAAATCTAAATGCCCGCCACTAACGTGGGGGCACAAAAATCAATTATGTATAATAATGTATTATGTTATAGTAAAAAAATAACATTTGTTAAAATAAATTCCAAGATCAAGGGAAATAATTCTAGAAATAGTCACGCTAGAGTTATGAACCTTGTCACACAACATGTATGTAATGATAAGAAGTATATATTTGAGGTTTGAAGTAGATACCTTAAAAAGTAACAAAGTTATAATATTTCTTAAAGAAAATCCTAAGTTCAAAGAGAGATAAATCTGTAAAAATTACTTCAAGAGTTATGAACATTGTCACATAAAATATAATTGATTATAAGGAATAAGTATTTGAAGTTTGAGGTAGATACCTTTAAAACTAAAAAAGTTATAGTAAAAAATAACATTTTTCTAGTAAAAAAATCTAAGTTGATGGGGAGATAATTCTTGCAACATTGGTGCTAGAGTTATGAACCTTGTCACATAGGATGTGGATGATGATAAGGTACATTTATTTGAAGTATGAAGTTGATTCCTTTAGAAATAAATAAGTTACAGTAAAAAATAATATTTTTTAAAGAAAATTCTAAGTTCAAGGGGAGATAAATCTGAAAATATTGGTGCTAAAGTTATGAACCTTGTCACATAAGATGGGGATGATGATAAGGTACATATATTTGAAGTATGAGGTTGATCCCTTAAGAAATAAAGAAGTAACAGTAAAAAATAGTATTTTTTAAGGAAAATTCTAAGTTCAAGGGGAGATAAATCTGAAAATATTGGTGCTAAAGTTATGAACCTTGTCACATAAGATGGGGATGATGATAAGGTACATATATTTGAAGTATGAGGTTGATCCCTTAAGAAATAAAGAAGTAACAGTAATAAATAGTATTTTCTAAGGAAAATTCTAAGTTCAAGGGGAGATAAATCTGAAAATATTGGTGCTAGAGTTATGAATCTTGTCACATAAGATGGGGTTGATGATAAGGAACATATATTTGAAGTTTAAAGTTGATGCCTTTAGAAATGACAAAGTTATAGTGAAAAATATTTTACTGCACCAAAACTTTAATCTGAAATCTGGACGCGGACACGGACGCCGGGGCGAGTAGGACAGCTCTCCATATACTTCGTATAGTCGAGCTAAAAATATATTTGTATTTTTAAAGGACAATGGTACTGTAAACAAGTATTTGTTGCTTTATCAAAATTAAATTGTTTATCGCAGACTGCAAATAAAACCCAATAACATAACAGCAAACAATCCATTTTTCATCGCTTTGTTATAAATATTTGAGAAGTATGTGAAAAAAAGTGCACCCCCCCCCCAAAACAACAATATTAGTCTTCAATCTATGTTATGTAATGTTGTTATAGTTTTTTTAGTGTTTAAGGAAGTCTAATTGTATCATTAATCTATTAAATAGACATTTAAGTCCATTTCATAAATGAAATCAAAAATTTCCTTTAAAAATCACAGACAATATACTGGTAATAGAATAACACTCATATTAATTTTGTATATATATAATTATTTAAAGTAAATAAGAAAATAAATTGTCATGGTTATTGAATCTTTATAATGAAGACATAAAATTTAAGAAATCAAAATTTTAAAGAATATAATAGATTCACTCTTGAGAAAGTTCCCCACTGATGACATTATATCATTTTATCATACTATAACTAATATTCAGATTCCCACATTAAATAATATTTTTTTTGACTTTTACATTAGATTGCATTAATTGGTAAACAACTCCTTATGGCCATCTTCAATTGTTATTTCTGTTGATAAATAATACAGGGCTCTCAGTAGGGTCAGAATTTCACGAGTCAAAGACTCTTTGGCCAAAATTTTCATGAGTCAAATCATTTTTTTCTAGTGTCATTTGACTACATGAATCATTTGAATGTCAGACATAATCCCCTTCGGACAAAATCCCCTTCGCCTACCCGGACAAAATCCCCTTCATGGGTGGACATAATCCCCTTCATGTTTTTGCAAGGCTGGACAAAATCCCCTTCACTACCCAGACAAAATCCCCTTGTTTCATAGGTTTCTAATGTATTATTATGCTCCATAAATATAGATGAATTATACTCCCTAAAAATTGATGAATAATGAACTTTTGTTTTTTTATTTATAATTATGTATCAATAGTTAACCTTTATTTAGTTTAGAAGTTTTATTAAAATTATGTTCAATTATCAACTGCATAACACATATTTGATTAGGCAATTTCTTTAATTGTTTTAAGTTGATTAGTAGGAAAAACATTTTTATTAGCCAATAATTGTTTCATTGATTGTATAAGTTGAAAATTCTAATTGATATATACTATCCATTTTTACAATTTCTATTAATGAAATCAGTGATAATTTAATCAAACCAAGATCACTACACTACTTGATTGATTGTTATGAATGCTTTAACAAAGCAATTTTAATGTGATTAAAATGTGCTAATTGAATGTGCTTTTCTACTGAAATATTTATTTATACATTAAGAAATTTACCACACAGCATAATGCAGTATGTCGTTTCATATCCACTTTATAAACCGAAAATTCCTCCGAGGGGGATTTTGTCCTAGGTAGCAATTTTATGAAAGGGATTTTGTCCACTTTAAAATTTCACACATGAAGGGGATTATGTCCACCCATGAAGGGGATTATGTCCAGATATACAAAAATACATGAAGGGGATTTTGTCCGAAGGGGATTATGTCCGTACACCGAATCATTTTTATGTTACAAAAATGACTGTATTGGAGGTCATTTTTGGAGATTCAAAAGTCTAAATTGACAGAAAAAAATGCTTAATTATAAATGTCTATATCCCCTCCACCTTAAAAAAAAAACAAATAAAAAAAAAACAAATAAAACAAAACATGAATTGCTGTGAAAGAATAAAATAAGCAGCAGCTGATTAAATGTATAAAATATATAAAAAAATTATCTTTACTGGTATGCTATATCATATTAATTTTAAATACCAAAATGTACTAGGAATATTTAATGGAAAAAGAAATAACAAATGCACAGGTACTCCAAGTAAATCAAAGACGTATTATAAACCTTTAAAAGCAATCAATAATTGACACCTCAAGTATGTAGTTCTTATCAGTTGTGTAGAGCTATTTTTAGCGCTGTCAAATTGCAGCCACTGAATTGTCTTGCTTCAGTGCACAGGCTATAAACAATTGCCGTGTGTAAAGCATTTTATACACAGCTTATACTGCCTGTTGACATTTTTAATAAGTGTGATTTGAACATATGTAGGATTTGATAGATAATTAGGGTGGATTTAAGGTAATTATTATTGCATAGCTGAAAATCCCATGTGGCAAATTGACTCTTGAGCAGATTTTATCACGTGTCAAATTTGTGCATTTCCCGATTTTCACGTGTCAAAACCCGGATCCCCGTGTCAATCGAGAGCCCTGTAATATATATATTGTACAAACATCACTGTTAATTCTTTTCTCATGCTTCCATTTCTAAACAAATATACATCTTCACTTTAAATAAAAACATCCCTGACTAAAAAAAGATATAAAAGACTAGTAATAATTCAATTTAGTTCTGCTTCCTTGGTAAAACATTATAAACAAACAAATTAAAAATGCCAATAATAAAACTTAATATGTTCAAAAGCTATGATTTAAATTCCATTTAAAAACTGAGAATGAATCTACAACATTGCATTTGTATGGGTGTTTTTTTCTCTCTATACTTCAGCTATTATGCAATAATAGAAAAAAATAAATAAAAAATATCAGCAATTATGCAGAATTATTAAAGAAAATAAATGTAAAAATAAAACAATGTAAAAAACAATGCAAAAAATAAAGGCTAGACTTGACTATACATTTGGCAAGGCATGGTAATAAAATGGATTTATAATATTTTTACAAAGCATAAAACAAAAAAACAACCTATAATAACGAATCAAAAACAATAATTGAATTATAGATTCACAAATCGCAGGATTTAGTATTATAATTGTAAAAATTATTTGATTATCATGAAGCTATGACCATAATCTCAATATTTGATATGTGCGATTGAAATACTGAATGAGTAAAAACAATAACAATATGTACATCTTATGTAAATCTAACACTCCTTGAGATTTTGTTTCTATAACAAAGAAGGATTTTAACGGCGTAAACTTCCAATAAGCACTGATCATGGACTACACAAATATGCCGCTGTTTTTTGTTCTCCCTCAATAAAATAGTTTTCAAATTCTTTTTACGGCAAAAATAATAACACACTTTTTCTGATGTTTTCAGTTCACTTTTTCATTTTTCTTTTCATATGATGCTAAAGTAACATCTCACATTCACCGACCCAACAGATTGATATAAGTTTTATAAGACAAATTGACGCGAACTCGTAAGCACCATAAAAACGTCATCCCAAGTATGCAGCTTGTTCATACAAGTGCCAGAATGGCGTCACTTTAAACTGGTCAGGGGCTGAAGAATCATTAATCCAGCAACGATGTAAACACAATATATATAATCCTGCCTGACACACAAGCTTAAACTGATTTTAAATAGCTGATGAACAACACAGAAACTGATATTGTTTCTTAAATATATCTCAATAATGTTTAGTTTAACTATATCACTATTTATGTATGATTTATTCTTCTTAGGCTATATGTTCTTGAACTATTTGGCTAGAATGACACAAGTCCTTTACATTACTTTCAAATTAAAAGAGCCATCTTCTTTCTTTCAATATCGCTATAAATATATTTAAAAGTTCTATTCAGTGGGTGTTTCTTGGACACCTTGGCTTCATTCGTTTTTTGTCTTCTTTTACGGCCCCCGTCTCTGTCACATGCACTTCGAAACCATTCTCTACAATCTAATTCGACTTCAGCTGCTGTACATTTTTTACATTTCATGACCGCTTCTGTAAGTATAATTAAAAAAGAAAATAAGATCTACCTACTTATTTGTTCTGGCAGAACTTTATAGATACATGTAGTGGTAGACTATATATACTCCTTAAATTTTTGTGATATACTTAATTAAAATATTAACTTCTCCATACATTCAAGTGTTCTAAACTGAATATTATGCTTTTATCAATTAACACATCAAGTAAAGGTATACATCATAAAAAAATATTAACTTTATCCAAAATTTATATAATATTCTAACACAACCCGCATTTTCCTCTATTAAACACAGAAGGACCTGAAGTGTGTTATTATGTAATAAAATCACTGTATTTAAACATGTGACGAAACCATTTACAGATATTTGACATTAGCATTTAAAAATGTGAGGCGCTGAAAATGAGTATGGAAACAAATCAGACGCAGTGTACCTTAATACTAGGTACGGCAGTATTTATCTGTTGTTGTTAGAATCGAAATAATATATCCAAAAAAGTGATTTCACTGCATTATGAAATCACTATGATATTCGAATACAATCATTATATCAATCAGGCTACTCCCTCCTGATATAATTCCTCGCATTTGAACTCCAAACATTTAATTAAGCAATAAAATCACAGTTTGGGATATATTATTTTTTATGAAATATCCTTTTCTATGCAGAGGTGAGAACATAGTGATATATTTTCTTCTTTTTAATCAAATATCTAAGTCAAATATGCAGGTTTCTTACTGTCTGTAACAATTATGTGTTTGGTTATCCATAAAATTTTAAATGAAAATAAAATAATTACTTTGCACTTCCATGGCCAGCTTCAGTTTCCCAAACGCTCTCTTCCCTTTCTTGCCAAACCAGTTGAACTGAAGTGCCAACTGATTTGACATGCAGTGTTTCATGACTCTTTTTGACATATCGCTTCTTGTGATACCTCCTTGCAGTGTCAGGTATGTGACCTGAAATATATGATTTTTGTTCTCAACACATTTCTAACGTTTCAAAAAGCATTTGACACATAATTCACAGGAGTGTAATAAGGCCATTTATTTCATGCTTTTCCAGTGTTTTACTGTAATAGATAATATTTTGATAAACCACTACTGAAATTTATAATATATCATTTTCACTGTAGCCGGACTATATCTGAATGCAGATGAAAAGAATATAACTAAATGGAATAACAGGCCCAAAAAAATGTTCTTTCTTTAAGAAAAGAAAGTCGATGTCATCATTTATCATGTTAAAAGTGTAACAAAATTGGAGGATTTAACAGGATTATTTTTCAAAATTGATGATGTGACATCATGATGTTATTACTTCATAAAGGAGAATGCGCGACGTCAGGCAGCAAATCAGTAAAAAATATTTAAAATCACGAAAAAAGCATGAAATAAAAAGAAAATTTATTTGTTTTACATTATAAGATTGAAATATATTTCATTCGTGTCGAACACCAGGTATTTTATTTTCATTCGTTGCAATGCAAGTCATGAAATTAATATTGCATCTGGTGTTCGCTCAGTGAAATATTTTTCAATCTGACATGCAAAACAAACAGATATTCTCTATTTAAGAAATACTATATTACACTAGTTATAATATAATGTCTACATATTACACTAGAGTAATAATATAATGTCTTTTGTGTTACAAACAAAAGCCCACTAATGACAGGCCAAAAACTTTTAAGAACAGTATGACGGACAGAAAACTAGTGTGCAAAATTTTAGTGACATAAAAAAAGTTTAGCAAAAACACTTTTGTTTTCAAAAACAATAATAAATTCATTTCGGGCAAAGATAAAATTAACATCTTTCTAACTAATGAAAATAAATTTACCAAGCCATTGAAACAACCAGGTTCTTGTAAACCTGTCTCAACCAACTCCAGTTCTTCGATGCTTGTAACTGGTAAATGAATATCATCAGGCAAATCAGTTGGTCCACCACCATCTTGACTTTCCAACTTTGACACGACACCAAATACCTGATGAACAGTGTCCAATATTTGTGTCTGTTGTCGAGACATTTTTTCTAATAGGGTAAAAATGCGAGTATCTCGTGCTAAAATACAAAAATATTATTTAATGAGAAACATAACTTTCAATATAATTACTGAAGTAAAAAAAAAAGGAATATTCTTTTTAATTAAATCATCCTGCAGTGTCCAGACCAAGTGAACATCCTTAAATGAAGAGACATGGACAAACTGCTATTAAATTTAGAAGTTTGATTTCTTAACAAGAACATCAAAAGAAATGCCATGATCTTTTTAAACCCTAACCGACAATATTTAACCAAATAAAAACATTATACACAGAATGAACCAATAATTTGAATAATTTCATTTAATATTGACATCTTATGTCTCCCAAGTTCTTCAAGTGGAAGGAAATAACACAATACAACCATTTAGACATTGAAAAAAGCACATCTTTTATCAATTAAAGACCAATTATTGTTTAAAATCATTTAAGAGTATACCTATAAATCAAACATCCTTACCTACTTCGGAACGCATGGCAGTGGAACTACCTGCAGGGGTCTCTGGTGTTTCATTTAGATCACTGACAACTGAATTAGGGGTAGAAAGGTACTCGATCACTAACCACTGAATGAGGGGTTGATGGTACTCTATTACTGACAACTGAACTAGGGGTAGAAGGTACTCGATCACTGACCACTGAATGAGGGGTTGATGGTACTCTATTACTGCCAACCCAACGAGGGGTTGATGGTATCGCTGCAGTTGGGTCTGTATCCTGGGTTGTTGGAGTGCCTGTAAGTGTGGTCTGTAAGGATGATTGTAGGCTGCTTCTGCAGTCTGGTAGTACAGGGCATGGCCTTGGTGGAAGCTTTGATTTTTGAATATGTGTAGGGGTTTCTTCATCAGATGACGATAACAATTTTGATGGAACACTGAAATTATAATTCATAATAAGTATTCTCGAACGACATTTAATGTGTTTTAGTATGGATAATGGAGACCTTGCAACGCATATCTTTTCGGAAGTGGCTAGCCGTACGGGCCCGTACGGCTAGCCAAAAGTTCTAGCCGTACGTGAGTCACGTACGACTAGCCAGGACACACTGTATTGGCTAGCCGTACGGCACTTTTCAAAAATATATGGAAGGCGAAAGTGCATAATTATGTTAATTATGGACTTTTAAGGCGAGTGTTTTAGTCAAGAATGGTTTACTTTTTTAGAGATTAATCTTTCGACGTGTTGGCTACAGTAAAGAATTTACTTTTGTTATCTCAAGACGTAGAGAAAAAATAGCGTTTGGTTGCAGTTATAACATTCAAATTGAAATAGTTTTTTACAAAATTTTGATAATAATCCTTTTTTGTTTCATTAAGTTTAATTTTTAAACTGGAAAAAAAAAAAAAACATCGAAAAAAATTGTTGTTGGCTCTGAATAATTGCGTCAATTACCGACGGTATAGGAATTTGTCCATCGCCATCATTAAGAAAAAGTTTTGCATTATTTAAAGTTATTTTTCCTTTTCACCGTTTTTTTTTAATATTCTTTTTATTTATTTATTTACTCCCCTCCGATCATTATTTATTCGATCCATGTGCTTAATTACCAGATTTAACAATTCATCTTTCATACAAATCATAAGCATGAAAATTAAGGACGTTATAACAATGCAACTTTGGACACTCAATTTATATTAAGATAGATTATACAACGCTTACTCGTATTCATTTTTTTTGTGCAAAATTGCGGAGCATCTTTTATTAAAGTGAACACACTAGACAAATGCGGGGATTTGATTAAAAATCGTTGTTTAAAACACAAAATAACAAATGCATTTTCGACTTCCATATAATTTTGAAAAAGTGCCGTACGGCTAGCCAATACAGTGTGTCCAGGCTAGTCGTACGTGACTCACGTACGGCTAGAACTTTTGGCTAGCCGTACGGGCCCGTACGGCTAGCCACTTCCTATCTTTTCGAACTTTAATTTTCTCTGTCAAAATGTAACTTTTAATTATTTTGTTTCAACAAAATTTAATGGCAAAGTCTTGCAACTTAAGAACAAATTATTTTCTTATTTTATGTCAACAAGTTGCTAAGGTCCTATAGTAAAAAGAAATTATACAACGCCAATTAACGAGCGAAATTTTTATGACTATAAAATCAAACAATCTTCCAATATCCTTTGATAATCAACATTCAAAGCACCTCAACCAGTAATCAATAGTTAGAATTATCCAAAAAGGTATAGAAAATGATAAAGTACCGCAGTCGATGTAAACAACTTTGTCCCTTTTGAGTTGGGCGCCCAATGTAACGTGCCCGTATGTACGGTGCGTCAGTAACTATTTACCATTGTGCAAGATTACAATAAATATCCGTTCAATGAAGACAGCGTTAAAATTCGGAAATTCCCTGCATGTCCTGACAAAAAAAGTACATAAAAACTAAATCATTCAAACGAATATAAATCGGACCGACTGTCGACCTATCACAGTTAAATATGTCAATACGGATAGACAACGTCCGATATCATGGTAGCCGACACAGATATTCCATCATATAGCCGATATCGGCCCGATATAGGTATGTTTGCTGGGTTATTGCAATTCCAAAATCTCATTTTCAGAACAAAATGTTTGATTGAGTAGTTTAGAACAAACATGTTTGATTTAGTACTTAAGAGTATACAATCTCTTCAGAAGAGCTAATAATATTCTGACTTCAAGATTCCTGGAACTCTGAAGATAAATATACCTGATAACAATATAGAAGTAATTTAATGTATCACATTGATAAAGCTGGTATAATTAGACATTACACCTTTTAAAATATTCACAGTAGTACTCACAGTTATCTAAATTTAATATATCAATGAATCAAGAAACAGTTTGCTTGAGCTTTTGCTCACCATGAATTGTTGAATGAATCCAAGGCACTGTGCCTGTCTAAATAACAATACCCATTACATTAAATAACCCTGAAGCTCTTGCTGTGAGGTCTTACTCTTGTTTCTACTTTACATTCTCATACAGTGCTCACCATGAATTGTTGAATGAATCCTAGCAGTGCCTGTCTTAATAACAATACCCATTACATTAAATAACCCTGAAGTCTGCTGTGAGGTCTTACTCTGGGTTCTACTTTACATTCTTATATGTACAATGTCTTAAGGATAATGGAAACCCCAGAAGTAAAGTGCTGACCTTTAAACTTCTCTCTCTCTCTGCCATCAAAAAGCAGTCTAGAGGTGTATTGGAATATTGACTGTACAAGCTAGTTTATAATATCTACGATAATGTTTTTTCCCTCTCTCTCGTATTCTCTCTCGTATTCTGTCTCCAGCCTTCCGATGGCAGATCCAGATGAGTGAATCCAGGAATTATGAGGAAATCAATACTGTGGCAAATATTTGGAATCACTAGTATTGAATGAGGCTTAGGGAAAATAATAGCACACATAATCTGAGAAAGGCATTATATAGCAAGAATGTCGATACGCGGCAATATTGACCTAATACAAAGCAAAATGGATCACAGTTATATTGTTAGTGTTAGATTTAGAACACGTAGTAATGAGATGTTTATACCTGTAATGACCTCAATCATTCCACATAGAGCCGCGTCATGACAAAACCAACATAAATCATGTTTGCGACCAGCATGGATCCAGACCAGCCCGCATTCCGCGCAGTCTGATCAGGATCCATGCTGTTTCGCTCACAAACTCTATACCAAGTAGAGAACATACCAACAGCAGATCCTGACAACGGACCTTTGTCATGAACACGGCCATAGTTCCAAACGTATAAAAAGACCCAGGATTTTCTGTAAGAAATTACATTTGGAAAGTAGAAATAATAAGTGCTAAAACTAGCTGTTTGAAAATAGATTGTCACACCTACCACAATGCATGGTGAAAGATCTTGGAATTAACCTCCCATCATGTTTAGAAACACATTTACTCAGATATAAGAAAAGCGTTAACTGCAAAAGTCGGTAGACAGTTTGCCTGCAATTAGTAGTCTGCCATGCCTCGCCTGCCTTATATAAAATGACAACACGTAGCCGCATAGTTTTATTATATGCTCTATCTCGCAAGTAAAACACAATTGAACAATAAAAGGGAAACCTAAAACAAGACATTAGCAAATTCTTGTTCTTCCTCTTTGGACTGATAGGGGTAATCTTGCAACGTACATCATTTCCAGTCTGATTATGTGTTTGCTGTCTAATGGGTAATTGTTTGAACTTTTATCTTGAATTCCATGAAATTGACAATGGACAGTTCACAATCAGTAAGGTTAGAGTTAATTGGAGAAGAAAATACATGGTTGCACCTTATCTGTCTAGCTGTTAAAGACAGTTGTTAAGTACTGTTTGCAGACATACACCAATTCTTATTTATTGCAATTGTCTGCAGTACACTATCTTCAGCTCTTGCTCAGACTCACAAGTCCCAGACAGATTACAGATTTGTGTATGTAGGTAATTAAATCAGTAAGTTTCCTGCAGTGATTGGATTGAAAAAATTGCCAGAATCAAATTATGCAAATTTAGACTTCAAGAAAGTAAGACTTGCCTTTAGAAAGAAATAGCACCGCAAATTAACAGTTTGAAAGTAAATTTCTATGTGACTAGCAAACAATTGTTTTGTCAGACAGCTCCTGCATGGAAATAAGTAGTATTCACCAATATTGAACTTGGGCTTGCACTGAGTAAAAGGTGAACACTGTATAGTTCTTTTAGCTGACTTTATTTCATTTTGATTGAGGTGTTTAAATTGTTGAGTAAAACTCTCAAACAAAAATGGAAAGTATCCTAACACTTGTTAGTCTTTATTAACCCATATCTTATTGCCAGGAGGCATTATTACATTTTTATGCCCCCGCCATGTAATGGCCGGGGCATATAGTGTTACCCACCACCGTTCCGTCCTTCCCGTCCTTCCGTCATTCCGTCCTTCCGTCATTCCGTCCTTCCGTCATTCCGTCCTTCCGTCATTCCGTCATTCTGTCATTCTGTCATTCCGTCATCATCAGTTCCGTTCATTACGTCCCCAACGGTACAACACATTTCAACTTAAATTTGACATATGGATATGTCATTGAAAAATACAGGTCAAGTTCGAATTTGGTCATGGTTCGATTGATTTTTTGGCAGAGTTATGCCCTTTTACTTTGAAAATAAATATGAAATTTTCAGTTTCTGTCATTATCTCCCAACGGTACAACACATTCAACTCAAATTTGACATATGGATATTTCATGAGAAAATACAGGTCAAGTTCGAATTTGGTCATGGTTCGATGATTTTTGGCAGAGTTATGCCCCTTTTTACTTTGAAAATAATGTGAAATTTTCAGTTTACGTTCATTATCTCCAAACGGTACAACACACATTCAACTCAAATTTGACATATGGATATGTCATGAGAAAATACAGGTAAAGTTCGAATTTGGTCATGGTTCGATGATTTTTGGCAGAGTTATGCCCCTTTTTCTTTGTAAATAATATGAAATTTTCCAGTTTCCGTTCATTATCTCCCCAACAGTGCAACACATTCAAGACTCAAATTTGACATATGGATATGTTTCTGGAATGCCCAGCCAATTTCGAATTTGGTCATGGTTCAATGATTTTTGGCAGAGTAATGCCCCTTTCACTTTGAAAAAAATATGAAATTTACAGTTTTCTGTTCATTATCTACCCAACATGTGTTACATATTCAACTCAAATTTGACATACTGATATGTCAAAGGAATGGGCAGGTCAAGTTGGAATTTGTCATGGTTCGATGATTTTTTGCAGAGTTATGTCCCTTTCACTTTGAAAATAATATAGATACGTCTAGGAATAAGCAGTTTAAGTTTGAATTTGGTCATGGTTTAATGATTTTGGACAACCTTATCTTTCTTGAATATTGGAAATTTTTTGAACTTTTTGTTTCAGCACTCATACTTTTGTGGAAATGTATGTATAGCCATTATTTTGGCTACAAATATGAAAAAAATGCTATT